GTAAAGTCTCAACTGAAAATGCGCCTTTTTTTGATTCGTTAAAAATTAATTATAAATCGTACCGGTAAATCAACAAGTATCCCTATGATTTCATTTTATAACCAAGTAATTGAGGCAGTCGAGTGCGATCTTTTAAGATCTTAACAAGGCATTCGACTGTGTTAATCACAATATATTATTATCAATTTTAAAAATATACGGAATATGAGGTGTTGCATTTAAAAGATCGAAAATTTGTTAACATTTAAATAAACCCAATAATTACCATTAACTTTGATTATTTAAATACATCTTCTGGTGTTCCGTAGGGATCCTATTAGGTCCGATTTTGTTGATAATATGTACTAATAATTTAACTAACCACATACATGCTTGTTGAAATACATTACATTCAATATACATTCAACGTTACTTTCAATATACATTCAACGTTACTTTCAATATACATTCAACGTTACTTTCAATATACATTCAGTATCACTCATTTCCAAATAATATTAACTCCTACTGCCGTCCCTGTATCCTGTACTATCTCAGCCGATAAGAAAGTTATCTAACAGATGAGTAGGTACGTCATGCGCGTCAGCCACTCCTCATTGGTTAAAAATTACTACGTCAGCTTCAAGCTCGCTTGGCGGTTCATCATCGGGTCACTTCGTGTCCACCAGTCAACCAAACAACATGTGTTTCTAACAGTAAAAAGGGCCATCGTATAAAATGAAATTCAACTCAGCTTAAGTAATCAATTTCCGAGAAATTATGTTATTATAAATAATGTAGAAAGTTATTTAGTTGTTGTAAACAATGTACTAATGGTAAATTAAACTGATTTTGATTCAGTATTAAAATAAAATGTGTTCAGTAAGAGGTGGCCTTTGAATCCAAGTATCTACATCTCCAAGACCTTAATGGATCACACAGGTATTCTAACTTTTACATTGAAAAACAAACTTAATTAGGTTTCACGTTAGCTATAAACTGAACGAATTTTCCGTTACAATTGGTAACTGCAGTTTGAAAACCACGCATGAAAATGTTTGTCTCTTGGGTATCCAACTAGATGAAAGACTAGACTGAAAATATCATTGTAAAACTCTTACAGCTAAAATTAACTCCCATCAAATATATTCACAAATGCTCGTATTATTTCATAACTGGTTTTGGAAAGGGGAGAAAAATAATAAGTTTTAAAACGGTAACATAATAGGATCTTTCGTTCGTCCCACTGGTGTAGTTGGGTGTAGTAATGAACTACACCAACCCACACCCATACCTTTCGTTTGGTCCGGTGTAAAACCCATTATACCTTCCTGTCGGCGATGTGGTGTACACTGGTGGATATTTTCTCCACCAGCTGTTTACAGGAGTGAATTACACTCGACGATGTGTATAAGGAATAAGGAGGAAGTAAATTAGGGTAAATAAGGTGGTGTAACTGGTGTAATTTACACTGGTGGACACTACACCAATAGCGAACGAAAGAACCTAATATGTATATTTAAAATAAGTACAAAATGACTAATAGTCTCAAGAATTAATATTCAATTTATATTTAAGAAATACGTATTGACATAAATGAATATTGATAATATAAAATAATGTAAGATAAATGTAAGATAGATAAAACTGGGAAAAATTTGCATTTATATGGAACTCAAATTAATTATCTCAAAACAAAACCCAAACGACTTGATAAAATAATTTAAAGATATTTACCTCTAGTACATACATCACTGCTTAAAACTTTACCTTACACATTAGGCTGTTTCGATACCTAGGGTGCTGAAGACCCCGGAAATACTGGAGATCACGATACATATACTAGAGATGCCAAATAACTAGAATTTCGGACCGCAGTTATTACTCAAGACTAGTCTGTCTATTTAAACAGGAGAAAATCAAAGTATGTGATTTAAACTTAAACCCTAAATTTACGTGAGAGTTTTACTTTTTAGAATGTCAACGGACTACCTTGGCTAATTCTCTAGTTAAATGTAAGCCATTGACTGAGTGCATAACCTTATCGTTTGATTTATTTCAATTTGTGTGTTTTATTTTTAAATATTTAGTTAAAACATTAAAAAATACTTTTTAGAAAATTTGTGTAATTCTTTATATTTTACTTATACTAATGCCAATTATTTACTTGATTTTTAGCTTTTATTGATTTCTTGTTATACAAACATAAATAACTTATTTTGCCTGATGGAAAATAAAGTATTGTATTGTAAAACAGTTTTGACATTTGTTCTGAAAATATGGCACCAACAGATTCGTCCTAAGATATTCGTCGCCAGAATGCAACTAAAAATAATGCGCCCCATTTTATTAGAAAACACAGTGACAAAGTTATACAAAAGTATCAGAACTAGAAAAAGTCAATTTATTACCATTATACGAAACATTAACAAAAAATTTATACAAAATTAAAAAAACCTATATGAACAAAATCAAACTGTACAGTAACCAAAAAACAAAAGTAACTTCTATAATGACAAAAAATTAAAACCAATAAAAATGTCCGCCCACAAAAGACTTGCGATCTCTAGTCTTCATACTTGCGACCCATGGGTGTATCCTGTGATTAGGGTGGCCCTGAATAACAAAATATTGGGTAAAGAGTAGAGAGGTATGACATATGACAGTTGAATATAGGATTGAAATGTTCCCGTCTTAAGAATACGCTGATGATAATATAATGATGACTGCTCTCTCTAAGAGCTCATCGTTCAACTAAGTTTTCATCATTGGGGAGGTCGTCGACCTACTGGTCAAGCTTAACGGTTTAAGATCTGGACAGACGAACGTATACTTCCAGAAAGGCAGCAAAAGTGGGTCAGAATGCGCCCAATATCCAGCAAATTCCTTCACATGTGGAGAAATGCAAATTCCACGAGGGTTGCTTTTGTTCCTGCATGCTATCAATGGGTGTGCCCTTTTCTGGCAAGACAAAATGAAGTGGTGCAACTGGATAGACTTCGCCAGCATTTTCCTTGATCAAAACTTCAACCAAAAAGAAGTAGAAAATGCTGAGAAAATCTTGATGAACCTCTACGGATGAGATGAGGGGACCCTGCGATACTTGGCATTTGTAAAATCAGCAGCAACGGTAAAAATCGACCTTTTCCATCTGACCCCCACCACAGGCTGCAAAATATCATTCTAGGAAGACCTACCACCAGGTGCAAAAATGGTTGAGGGTCGACAAAACCCGGGTGACTTGGGATGGGCCACCAGCAAACAAGATCTCATGCCCGTGACAATCTACGCAGAGCCCGCTCATCGGACTTTGCTTAAAATGGTGGCTTGCAAATGCAAGAAAGGATGCTTAGGATCGTGCACCTGTAGAAAGGCATTTAAGTGCACTATTCTATGCTCCTTTTGACAAGAGCGAAGTCGCAACAACTTCACCCCTATTATTGTTCTGGTAGATGAGGACAAGGATGTGGACGACCCAACACCACAGGAATGCAAACAATAAAATTTGTCCTTTATTTCAAATGTAAATGTATTTTTATTATATGACGACCCGCCTCCATCTCCAGAAAATGTCGTCCCTCCTTCCCCTCTCTCCCTCAATGATCCAGACTTGATGAGACCCGGCCTTTCCAAAAGGGCAACGTTTTAAACTACTATATAAATAGTATTTTATAGTTTACATTTAGGTATACGTTCGTTATATATTTTATTTTTATTTATTTGAAGCCGTATACTACATCTAAAATGTTAAATTCACATTCTTGTACGTTTCATTTTTAAGAAATATATACCAACATTATTCAATACAATGTTTTCATCATTTTCTCAAAATTCGATACAAATTTTTATTTTTTGAGGAACCCATGAGGCCTAGAGGCGGCACTATTTTAGAATCAAATTGAAGCTAATTTAATTAGTTAGAAATTATTTGGTTATGACTTTTCTCTAGCACCATAGTTTGGCCGATACTTGTCTTGGAAAATGGCGCTACAGATAAATGTTCACTTTTTGAAAAAAAAATGCCCATATTTGACTGGCTGTATCTCCGCAACCAATTCAAATTGTAGAAAATGTGCTTTACAAAAGTACAGAATGAAGATACCCGAAAAACGCTTTCTTAAGTAGTTTTTTTTGCAAGAAGTGCCAGAATTTTCCGTTTTTCAAGCATTAGCTACAGTTAGGGGTGCAAACAACATACAGTGCGTCAAGTTTAGAATCCAGAATATTGGAGAACGGTTTAGAAAAACAATAGCATTGAATAGAGAGAAATAGATGCTATCCTACTACCGCGGTAGAGGTGTAACCATGTTTTCAAACGTCCAATGACGTAGGCGGACAAGCGAGTCTTATTTTAAAATTCGTTTTATTTTTTGAAAGTATCTATTTGCATTTTTTGAATTAATTGAATGCCTTAGCAAAAGCTAAGCATTTTATTTGTAAGATATTACCGATAAATATGTAACTTTCGCTATGTTAAACAACAAGCGACGACATACACCCCAAAACTGAAATTTGTGCTGTGCTATGATCGCTGACTGCGGGCAGCAGTGTTGCCTCCTTGTCATCGAAAGGGCATAGTTAAACAAGTTTCTCTCTTTATTTTACTTACGTCCAAATATAATTAGGCGTCTCATCTTTATTTCTCGGGATACCTAGTTTTACACGTGTACAAGAAAATCGTAGTTACATGCGCGTTTACAATGTTGAGTTTTATTGACTCTCCTTAATATATTATTTGTAGTGAAAAATAAAATCTTAAATGATAACATCCATCACTTGCTCCAAAGGCTTTCTGGCTGTAATATGTCACCTTACGGGCATTAGCATCTATATAACGCCCTTGGTACATAAACAGCTATTACTTTAGACATTCTGATTGGTTGTCTTTGCGCACTCAAGGGAACGTTACAACTGGTTATTTAAATCATGCTTATTTACCATATCTTATTAGAATTTATTATGTTTTACAAAGAATACAGCATTTTTTTAACTTGTCACTAAAACTATTTTTTTATTTCCAGATCCTCGTAAAGTTATCGTCGAAAAACAAGAAACCATAAACCTGCCTCTTGTTGCAGAAGATGAATCCTTGCCAAGAACATCGTTGCCGTATTTATCAAGTATCAACCGCGATGAATTTCACACGACTCCGAGCCATGCTTTTACTTTTTCCAGAAGTTCATCATTTTCAAACGAAAAACAGCAACATTTCAACATTCCACAAAAAAAAGGAAGATTTTATAGAAGTGTTAGTGATACACCAAAACAAAATCGTGCAGAAACTAAAATGACTTCAAGAAAAGATACCCCAATGAAACCCAAGAGAGTGTATGAAAAACGTGATCCAAAAAAAATAATCGATGATTTGGGGAAATTTAGATCCAAAAGAAAAGATGCCACTAGAAAGAAAACAAATACAGAAGACTCGAAAATTGTTTTTAATAATTTCAGTATTACTGAAACAGACTGGAAGGAAGTGTTTAAAAATACAGTGAAGAATCCAGGAATTGTTTTAAAGTCGCCACAATCACTATTGAAAAGTAAAGAAGGCCATTTATTTATGTTTGTTTGTTTTGTCTGTTCGTTTGTTTGTTTTATTCGTTGGTTCTTTCGTTCGTTCTTTCGTTTGTTTGTTTTTCTAATATCCATGAGATATACCCATTGTAAGTTTTTAAACTGTTTAAAGCAAATTATACGAACGTTTGACAGTTTGGTTCTCCATGGGCCTATCAAGTAGTTTTTCCAAATGATTGTTTTTTAAATATTTTGTAAAGAACAAATTAAAAGAAAAAATGCAATTTAAGCATACATTTTGATTTTTCTGCTATTATCTATTCAAATTTGCGACCAGTCCGGTAATTAAAAATAATATTTATTTGTTTATTTTATAATTTTTCCTATCGTCTCGACACATGCTATGAGTGTTATTTATTATGTCATCTCCAAATCCTTCCTATAATAACAATTTATGAGCTCTTTGAATGGACTATAGACGGCCGCAGTAAGATTGAGGCCCGCGTCACCATAGAAACATAGTGGCACACGCGCTAACGTGTACGTCTTGTAGCTGTTTTAGTGCAGATTAGGGCACATTTTTTCACGGCGGACCAGCATGTATAATTTAGATGATTAAGCGTCAGGCGACTATAATAACTAGACAGGAAAGTCATGTGTTGGACACATCAGATTTCTAAATTGTACTGATTAGGGTGAAAGATGGGAGGTAAAGTAAAAGACATATGATAGAAAGATAGATGTCCTTCTTTAATAAAAAAAATTACGTGTCCAAACTTTTGTCTAAAATATTGACGCAGTTCCTGATAATGGCTCTGATACGTTTTTGTAGGGCCACCCTGTATCGATGGGATATTTGCAACTCTTATAATTTGTTGGGTGATTTTCTAAAAGCTAATTTACGCTGCCTAAATATCAAATTTATTTTAATTTTAAATTTCTTATACAGAGTGGTCCAGTTTATATCGCTAGGATTTAACCAGCCAGTTTATTGAAAAATAACGGCAGTTTGTCTGATAAAAGATGGTTCAGTGAAACAACACTGAACTGATGTACAGGGTGATTCTTTTATCATGGGAAATGAGTTTTTCTCGTAAACGGTTGCAGCAAATTAAGTTCTGTAAAAAATATTTTATTTACGCCGATTAATGCTTGAGATTGGGATGGATATTGAAGTTATAATTAAGCGACGCTGGGCGTCGCAACGCTTCACAATTTTTTTTGTCATGAGCATGCCATTTTTGTTTCAGAAATTGAAAGATTTATTTAATAGAAACGCTTTTTTTAAATACAATTTGTTTTCATCTAAAACCATTCGAAAATTACAGACCAGTTTTTATGTTTTAAATTTTTTAATTGTCATACAAAGAATGCATGGTTTTTTAAATTTCACTAAATCAGGCAGGATAACTTTTATGCTAATATTGACCACAAATATAATGTAGCATTTAAAGAAAACAATTTACAAAATGTTACTACATTTATGCTGCGTTTGAATATCCATATCCGATGCATTTTTTACATGTCGAGCATTTTGTTTATCCACATCGGACACATCTACTACATCTGCATCTGCGTTTGTTTCAACGAGATGTAGCTGTCCAGATAACAATTTTTACATCTCGATTTGAAATGAGATGTTCATTCTATGCCAGAAAGTAGGTGTCCTGTAGGTGTAAGTATAAACGTCATTGTCATTTTTATTATATCTAGAGTTTGTTTATTACATCTACATTTAAATCTAATCCTCTATCACGAAAAAATTCACTACATCGCAGATGCATCCGATGTGGATATTCAAACGCAGCTTTAATAACACTAATTTAATTGTTTAGGAAATAATGAACGTTTACACTAACAACAATCAATACATGAAACACTAAAGAATAACATGAACTGTATTTAGTAAAAATTAATTCACAAATCTTATTTTAACAATTGCTCGATATATGCGCCATCGTTATCTAAACATAAATTGTACCGCTTTCTTATTTTGAAAGAGGTAACTTTTTTAAAACATTACCAGATATTCCATTGTACGCATCAATAATATTTTTTTTTAATTATCTAAATTATTAGATTTTATTTTATACACAATATTTTTTAAAGTTCCCCATAAAAAGAAATCTAAGGGTGTCAACTCCGGGGACCTAGGCAGAAATTTCAAAGGCCCATGTGTCCCCAACCATCTTCCGTGGTAGAATTCATTGAAATAATTTTGAACAATGGCCGCATTGTGGCAAGGAGCTCAATCTAGTTGAAACCATAAGTTTCTTCTGATTTGCAGTGGCACATGTTCCAGCAAAAGAGGATGCTAATTTTGAAGAAAATCTTATCCTGCTCCCGTCAAGGCGCCTTTATAAAAGTGTAGCCCTACTAAGTGCCGCCTGACTATTCCACACCAGACGTTTATGCCAAAGTGGCCCTACCTTTGATGATTTTTTTTGTTTGGTAATCCATGACTAATAAAATGACTCGTATGTCCATAATATATGAAAAAATAAATTAGAATCATCATCCAAAGACACCAAAAACTGACAAATAAATTCCTCCCGCTGCTCAAAATCTCTTAGCGAAAGTTCTTGTAAATTATGAAATTTATAGTCACGGTATTTGTTGCTTTTTAAAACTATCACGCTATAATTTAAATTTAAGTATCTTGAAGCCTCTCTGATAGAAGCTTCATGATGATTGTTAAAGTAATTTAAAATAATTGCCACATTTTCATCCGTCGTGACAGATTTTGTTCTTGATCTTTTACCTGCAAATTTGGCTTATTGTATTTATGGATAGTTAAAAAAAAAAAACACAAAACTCAGCTTTAAATGCTTTAGGGTTTTGACGCAAACTACTTTCTAACTTAGTAAAAATGTTGTGGTTTGGAAGATCCGTTCGGGATATTTTTCTTGCAGTTAAAGCATTTTTTTGGGCTTCTCCGTATAAAAGAAGCATGTCAACTTTTTTAAATGTGTAAACATATTTCTTATTACTTACTATTTTAATAGAAATAATAATCATTACACTGACAGTTTCAGACAATCAATCAGTATAAGCTAATTTAGTTTTTCAAAGCCTACCTGATTTAATGAAATTTAAAAAAATCCTGCATTCTTTATATGGCAATCGGCAAATTAAAAGATAAAACTGCTCTGTAATTTTCGAATGGTTTTAGATGAAAAAAAAAAATGGTATTTAAAAAAAGTGTTTCTATTGAATAGATCTTTAAATTTCTGAAATAAATATGGTATTCTTCTGACAAAAAAAATTGTGAAGCGTCGCGGCGTCTAGCGTCCATTAATTATAACTTCCATATCCATCCAAATTTCAAGAATCAATCGGCGTAAATAAAATACTTTTTACAGAACTCAATTTGCTGCAGCCGGTTACGAGAAAAACTTATTTCCCATGATAAAAGAATCACCCTGTACAAGGTGGTTTTTTTTTTTCAGAGTTTTTATTATTATCTAAAAGGGCTTACCGATTTTAATAAAATTTTCATAGACTGTTGATAACTTTATGAGGTGTCTTTCGGACATGTTACAGTGGATTCAGTAATTTTAGAGGCACAGGGCACTTCGATTAGTTTTCTGCACTTTTCTGACTTTTTCATATATATTTTTTAAGGAGGTCCTTTCGCCACACCTCTCGCTTCAAATGTTAAAAAAAAGTTATTAGATTATGACTAAAATTTATTTTTTTCTAATAGTTGAAGTCCTTATTTATCTAATACTGAACTTTTAACTATACCTTACCTTGCAAATTTTTGAGAATTTTTTTTTTAAAAATGTGAGTATTTGTACAGTGCCTCACGAGAAAGTAAGTCCTCATCAACAATTCTCGAATTATACTATTATTTATTGATTAGATGGAGTAGAAAAAAACTAAAAATAAGGTTTCTGAAATATTTAGATTTTGTTTTATGCAATAAAATATATATAGTAAACCGTGAAACTTATTGAGAAATTAATATTAAAAAATCACAAAAAATTTTCAAGTAACCTAGTTGAAAATTTTTTGTGATTTTTTAATAATAATTTTTCAATAAATTCCACGGTAACCTATATATTTTATTGTAAAAAACAAAACCTAAATATTTCAAAAACCTTATTTTTAGTTTTTTTCTACTCCATCTAATCAATAAATAATAGTAAAATTAATTATAATTCGAAAATTGTTGTTGAAGTCTTATTTTCTCATAAGACACTGTACAAACACACACATTTTTAAAAAAAAAATTCTTAAAAATTTGCACGGTAAGGTATAGTTAAAAGTTCACTATTAGATAAATAAGGACATCTACTATTAGAAAAAAATTAATTTTAGTCATAATCTAATATTTTTTATTTAACATTGGTGGCGAAAGGACCTCCTTAATTAACAAAAAATACAACTTTTTAATAAATTAAAATTAACAATTTTGCACGTATCTGAAAGCAAAATTGGATCATATTTTATTGGACAAATTATCAGTTGGTGAAGTCTTGATGATATAAACTGGGCCACCCTATATAGTTCCAAAATAAAAATAGATTTATCTTTTTAGGTCAAACTGCTAAGAACAAAATTACTTCAGCAAAACCATCTGAACGCTGTCATGATATAACCATATATGACAACGGCGATAAAGGAATAAAAAAAGGAGAAACGTTACCGATGAAAAATCCTTTCGCAACAAAATCACAACAAATGACTGAGTGTAAAATTCAAAATAATTCATATTTTAAAGAACAACAAAAGCCCCTATACAATAATGACGTATTTTTGGGAGAATCTTCGAACAGCATAGATCTAGAAAAAACCCAATTTCATAACCAATCCAATTATTTGCAAAATTTTTCACATTTTAAAACGTATTTACATGATTTCTCACAGTTACCAGATTTTTCACAAATCCAAGACACTTCTCAATTCCAAGATGCCTCTCTTCTTCAGTGTGATTCAAAATTCGAGTATTATTTACAAAATCCAAGCTGTTCACATTTCCAATATGATTCAAAAATTCAAGACAATTTAGAAATTAACAATTATTCACGAGTTCCAAATTATCCAAATATTCAAAATAATGATCAAGACCAAAAAAGTTCACAAATTATAAATTGTACGACAAATTATGATTCACAAAATAGCGAGCAATTCCAAATTCAAGTTTATAAACAAATTCAAAACTGTGAGCAAGATTTAAATGTCAAAAAAGTTCAGGATTTTCCCATTCAAGACTGTACACAACTACAAAGGTTTTCGGTGTTACAAAAACCTCTACCACTTTTTAATGAAAATTCAGTTCAAAATATTAAAATGCTCGCTGATATAGCTTGTAAACATGAAAAAAATTACGACAGTAAAGATAAACCGGAAGTTCTACCAAAAATTGCTTACAGTGAAGAAGTGCTGCCTCCCATGTCGAAAAATGATTCAGAATTGGATAGTTTTCCTAACATAATTGAACGTTATAAAGTTGTAGACAATGAACAAACTTTTGAAAACATTTCGATTTGTGAAGTAAAAAACGAAGATGAAATAAAAGAGCCAATAAATAATAATAGCTTAAAAATCGATATTGATATTTCTAGTAATACTTCAATTAAAGTTCTAGAAGATTTAGAAGATTTGGATAAATATATAGATTTTAACCCAAAATACGACGACAATATTATAAAAGATTTGTGCCAAATTCTCGATAACAAAAAAGAAAAAGAGATTATCGACACTGTTGATTTGGTATCAGCTTTTCCCCAAGAAGAAAAAATTGAAATGAACTACACTAAAAAAAGTGTAAAAGATACAAACGGTAAAATAGCGGAAATTTTTGAAGATAAAACTGAAATGCGTCAAATCGAAAATAAAAATGATGTTCAGACAATCAAAAATAATATTGAAAACAATTATCCATTTAAACCTTCAACGACTGAGGAATTTTTGGATTATTATGAAAAATTCATGGAAGACCTTTCTAAACAAGATAAAACCAAAATTACTTCTGAAAAGAAAAATAAGAGGTCTAAAAAAAATAAAATTCAAAATAACAAAATTATTATTAATTTTAATTTAAAAAACGCTTCCGATGAATATGTATCAAAAATGGAAAGAAGCATACACAAAATAAGAAATACTGTTGATTCAAATTCGTTCGATTTATTTTATTCGAAATTAGTAAACTTTTCAAATCTTAAAATCGAAAATGGTCCAACAACTAAACAAATATTTATTGAACCCAAAAATACAGTTCAAGATTCAATAACTCAAACTTCTATAACAGATATAAAACTTCAAAATTCCGCTTCGCAAACTTCAATAATTTGCACCAAGGATCAGGAAACATATGTTGATTTTAACACAACTGAAAATAATGATAACGAATCAAAAATGGATAAGAAAGATAAAGAACCGACTACAGAATCTGAAGAAAATCGAATCATTACAGTTATGAAGAATCAACATGCTTTGATTATTCAATATTTGAAACAACTTAACAACAAATTGGATGAAAATAAGACTGCTGAAAATAATACTGATAGTGAGAACACATTTTACGCAGACATTGAACATAATGCAGTCAAGAAATTGAGGACGTACTCAAAAAATAGTAACATTCTATCTGAGATCCAAAATAATTATAGAAAATATGAAGTTTGTGAGAAAGTTGGAGAAAGGTCAAGGAACAATGTCGAAAATGATATAGAGATAGTCGTAGAAGGTAAGTTTTTAATTAAATTTTTCAATTGAAGAGCTTATTGGAATAACATGACAAGGTACAATATTAATTTATAGTTTAAATAGTTTAAAATAAACTTCTAAAACTACTACAACTTTGTTAAAATGCAATAACTTGATTTTTCGGCTAATAATGGAATTTTTTGGAGAATTTTCATTTCGTTTATCACTTTCGTAATCTAATTTTTTGTTGTCGTAAAGCAAAAAAGCATTTATTTTAAAATGTGTGGCTTGTCACGTTTTTCCAATAAGCCCTTCAATTAGTGTTTTTTATACAAAATATTGTTCATTGAAAAGCCCAATTCAACTAAACTCAGTTATGATTCAGTTATAAATTTTCACTTCACAATGCAAAGCAATTTAATAGCTGTGTGAATCTCTCCCTCAAAATTCGAAAATTTGTTGACCATGTTTGACCGTCCAGTACATAAAAATTGAAAGGCTAATATTTTTCAGAATTGCATCCACCATAGGATTAACCAACGTTTTACCATGTTTGACTAAAATTAATTTTTTTCTAATAGTAGATGTCCTTATTTATCTAATAGTGAACTTTTAACTATACCTTACCGTCCAAATTTTTGAGAATTTTTTTTTTAAAATGTGTGTGTTTGTACAGTGTCTTATGAGAAAGTAAGACTTCAACAACAATTTTCGAATTATAATTAATTTTACTATTATTTATTGATTAGATGGAGTAGAAAAAAACTAAAAATAAGGTTTTTGAAATATTTAGGTTTTGTTTTTTACAATAAAATATATAGGTTACCGTGGTATTTATTGAGAAATTATTATTAAAAAATCACAAAAAATTTTCAACTAGGTTACTTGAAAATTTTTTGTGATTTTTTAATATTAATTTCTCAATAAGTTCCACGGTTTACTATATATATTTTATTGTATAAAACAAAATCTAAATATTTCAAAAACCTTACTTTTAGTTTTTTTCTACTCCATCTAATCAATAAATAATAGTATAATTCGAGAATTGTTTTGAGGACTTACTTTCTCGTGAGGCACTGTACAAATACATTAAAAAAAAAAATTCTCAAAAATTTGCAAGGTAAGGTAAAGTTAAAAGTTCAGTATTAGATAAATAAGGACTTCAACTATTAGAAAAAAATTAATTTTAGTCATAATCTAATAACTTTTTTTTTAACATTTGAGGCGAGAGGTGTGGCGAAAGGACCTCCTTAAAATAAAAAAAAAAATAAAAATATAATTTCGGCGTTTGACCACCTCCTAAAGAACTCCAAAGAATGTGCAAATAATTCTAAAAATACCAGAGAGGCGTATATTCTAAAAAACATCAAATTTCGACTAAAAAAATGGTCAATCGTTATGAGCACACAATAAACATCCAAACTGGTTTAGAATTATGTTTCGATGTTTAACCACCCCGTAAAATAAATATAAGGATTCTAAAGCATGTGAAAATTCGAAAAATAAAATTTTTACATCTAATTTCGTATTAAAAAAAAAATGTCAATCATCAGGAGAACACAAATAACTTTAAAAATCGTTTAGAATTAAGTATCGACGTTTGACCATTCCCTAAATTAATTCTAAAAACCCCAGAGCGGGTGAAAATTCTTAAAAACAATTTCCAAATCAAATTATGACTTGGAAAAAATGATCAATCGTTAGTAGGCAACAACGATGTAAAAGGGGTTAGAATTATATTTAGACGTTTGACCACCCCCTAAATTATATCTAATGATTCCAAAGAATGTGAAAATTTGAAAAATACCATTTTCAAATCTAATTTCGTCTTGGAAAAAATTGCCAACCATCATGAGGGGATAAGTAAGGTAAAAAATCGTTTAGAATTATGTATCCACGTTTGACTGACCATTCCCTAAAATAATTCTAAAAACCCCAGAAAGTTTATCTTGTAATATAAAATTATTTATCGCGTTACATAGCAGCAAGTTACAATGTTAAAAATATTTTAGTATTTTCTTTTGTACGATTCTTTAACAAAAATTCAAAAATTGTCTATGAAACGGTTCCAGAAGTATGGTCAGTAGCCGCCTTTAATATATCCTCATTTGACATAATTATCTAAGGCAAAAACAAAAAAAAATAAAAATAAAACAACTCACAATGTGGATTTTTCAATCGTTGTGTATACATATAAACATAATTATGAATCAAATTTTACCAGTTTAGAGTAAATGTACTTTTTTGGCTTTTTCACTTGCAAATCTGTTTTCATTACTTCCAACTTTTTCTCTCTACCCTCTATGATCTTACATTATGGTTTACTTTTTGTGCCCGTATTCTCGAGTAACGCTCATCGTTACAGGATTTTCAGTAGAAAGTCCTTTCAGATTCGAGAATATGAGACCAGGGGTCAACACTTTTTTGAAGATACAAATATATAATTTTTCAGAAACAAATATTACGCCTCCAAGAGCAAACACCGGTAAAAGAAGACTAAGTGAACGAGTCCGTGAGTTATTGCTTTCTTATATTTTAATTTAACTAGAGAGTACAAATATTTTTGTTTTAGAGGGGAGGCGGAAGAAATCAAGTCGAATCGAAAAGAGAAAAGCTGAAGGTATTTAATTGATACATATTTATATATCAAGCTATAATTTTTTTTTTCAGATCATTCTCCAAATATATCAAAAATACCACGCCGTACACGCCGTAAACCGAATCCTCCAGGTACAGTTAATATTCTATATGATTTTATATTTTCCACAGTTCATGTTTGTGTAAATTGAAATATAATTTTGTTACAGAAAAATCACGTAGAATATTGAGGAGTGCCATTGCAAAACAAAATGAATAACGATTTATTTAGCTACAATCGTTTTTGAAAGTCGTTGCTAAATTGTCTTTAATATTTTTAGTTTAAGTGTTTAACTGTGATTTTAAATATAAATTACTTTAAGTTGTTTTATTATTTATTTCCTATTTTGATTTATTGTATAAATAAGTCGAAACTTGCCATTGTCTGTTAGTTTTTATTTGTATGTTACAAACAGTACCATTTGATAATTTTATTTGTATTTCCTACTATTTGTTTCGTTTTTTGTACTTTGAAATTCGTTACTAAATTATCTTTAATATTGCTAATATTGTTAATATTGTTAGTATTGTTAGTTTTAAGTGTTAAGCTTATATAACTGTGATTTTTAGTATAAATTACTTTTAAGTTGTTTTATTATTTATTTGCTATAACGACTTGTTTTATAAATAAGTCAAATCTTGTCTTTATCTGTTTAATAGGAATATGTAAAACTTTAGTTTATTTGTATATTACAAACATTGTACCGTTTGGTACTTTTGTTTGTATTTCGTACTTTTTGTTTCGTTTTTTGTACCGTTTGTTCCGTTTTGTTTTCATAATAAATTTGTTTACTTTTTACAGCAATATTTTTATTTTCAAGCTTAGTCTAAACCTGAATTTTTCTACGATCACTATCCAAAGTAGGCCTTTGCACATTCAAATCTAACTTGACGTTTTCCATGAATTGTCATAGTTTGACATTATCGCCGCATATAGGCGGAAAGTTACTTTTTGCACACTCCTAGTTTTCATTAGAAAAGTTGTTATTATAAAGCTAATCGGTATTTTAAAAGAAAATGTAGACTAATCTGAATCTTTTAGTTGAACATTTATTACTGAAACTCATTTTCCTTAATATTTAAATGATAATTAAAATATTAAAAATAAATTACCCTGTTTTTTTTTTACATGTATTGTTGGTGTAGAGCCTAGCGCGTTTGTCTTTAAACCTGATGGTCGTGAGTTCAATCCTCACCAGTTATTATTTTTTTTTTATATTTGATTTTTTGTTTGTAAAATTAAATAAAACTTACAACAGTGCTTGAGCCATTAATTTGCGATTTGAGTATTCTAACTGATGATCTTGTAAGTTGTTTTTTAGATGTAAGTACTTACTAACAAATATTTTTTATGCATATCATAAAATTAATCCTAGAGTAAGCAAGCAGCACAATATACTGTTACGCAGCACCCTGTAGCGTAAAGTACGAGTAAATAAAGAAGATAAAATAATCCAGAAATGTCTCGAAATGTCATTCCTTATCAAAGAAAAGTCCGGATTGTTCGAGAAGGTTCTAGAAGGTCGAGGCAAGCTATATAAGTCGACGACCTGACGTCAGAGTTTCAGTTTGATGATAGACTTTACATGTTAATGTTATCAGTTGTATAATTGTTGTTAAAGTTGAGTTGAAATAAATTGTGATACTAAAAACCTGCGTAACATTGGTGACAGCGGTGGGATAGAAATTAGAAATTAATGGTAAATACTAGATCCACTGAATACGAAACAGACATGGATACTTCAGGTCCGCAGGCATGGTTTTTGAAGATGGAGGAGGAAAAGGAAAAGCGTAGGAAGGAAGAAGAGGTGGAAAAGGAGAGGAGTAGGAAGGAAGAAGAGGAGGAAAAGGAAAGGCGTAGGAAGGAGGAAAAGGAAATGCGTAGGAAGGAAGAGGAGGAGGAAAAAGAAAGGCGTAGAAAAGCTGAGATAGAAATTATGAATGCTTTGCTAAAAATCCAGGAAACCTTTAAGCAAGAGATTGATCAGCTCAAAATTAGAGTAGATCTTTTAGAACAACAACAAGAGCATTTAAAAACTAATTTAGAACAGCAGCAAGAGCATTTAAAAACTAATTTAGAACAACGAGATAATTTAAAACAACAGGAAAAGGATAGAGTAGAGTTCGAAAGGAAAATTAGAACTGAACTAGTTGAGTTAGAAAGAAGAATTCGTAGCCTAGCTTCGATAAGCAACAGAGAAGCTGAAAACACTACCTCGTCCTCATCTGTAATCGAACCAAGCCATATTCAACACCCAGTTTCACAATTCCATACTAGCAAGATCATTAAGCCACCCACGTTTGACGGTCAGACAACATGGGAAACGTATCGCCTCCAATTTGAAGCTGCAGCTAGAGCCAATAGCTGAGCTGAAAAGGAGAAGGCGGCTGCATTGATAGTGTCGCTGCAGGACAAGCAGCAACCGTTTTACAGTTACTCCCTCAAGAAGAACCCAGCTATTCATCTCTCGTCCAAGCTTTGGAGACAAGATATGACCAGCAGCATTTGAAACGGGTATTTCAAAGCCAGCTAAAGATTCGTAGTCAGAAACATAATGAGAGTCTACAGAAATTTGGGGATGACATAAGAAGATTGATTCATTTGGCCTATCCACAGGCGCCCGAAGATGTCCAAGAACAAATCGGAATAGAGGCATTGATGGACTACAAGATGCGGAAATGCAGCAAGTCCTTCGTCTACAACATCACAAGACGCTGAAGGAGAAACTGATTGCAGCCCAGGAATATGAAGCGGTAAAACGCATATCCAGATCTTCTCGCGCAAAAATGAGAGAAATTAAATCCCAGGAAAGTGAAGACGCTAATGCTATTCCCCAACCTATCCTCTCGCAAATATTAAATATCCTGCAAAATATACAACGAAATAGCCAAAATAAGAACAAAAGATGCTTCAATTGCGGAAGAATCGGGCACCTTTTTGTAAGTAATGCAAATAGCATTGGAATTATATTTGTCTCCTCTGGTGTGCTACGTATATCAATATGGATAATATATATTTGACTAAATTGCTTACTGCAGCTTTTGAATGTTCCATTGATAATACGATGTCCTACTTAACAGGAAATAAGGACACCGTATTATCGGTGAAACATAGTTAACGCTAGAATCTCCCTAGCTTTGTTGCTGGCAAACTCCAAGATGCTGTCCTTGGAGTCAATAAACAAAGATTTCGTTTTGTCGCTCATTGTAATAATTTCTTCTGGAAATATTATTTCCGATGCTGTAGCGGGATCTATCTGCAGGCCATGTGCACGTTTTCTACAGTGGTATAAAATACATTTTTCTAAAGAAAATTTTGGTATTTCTGTCACGAAATACAGTCTTTGATGATACAATATTTGAAATTCATGCCGATATATTTTTGACATGGCAAATATTCTTTCCTAGTTCTTTTTATAACATTGAAGATACAATACTTCATTGCAACACTAGGCTTACACATATGTTCGGCTTCTCTATTATTCTGTTGTTCTCCATAATGATATTGCCCCGACATTTTTTAGTGTTTTCTTTCCTTCAACTCCAAAAAACGAATCATTTTTATTTGTTTTTATTTTATACTAAAGCTTTATTCTTTATATAAAACACAGTTCAAGGTTTCAATTGGTTTGTTCCAACAACGATCTTGAGACCATACATAAATCACTCCAGCAGTGGGATTTTCATCTATCAATACAGCATATGTTGAGACGCCTATATCTTCGTTCGACAGACTGCGATTCTTATGTAATGTTTCTCTCTATTCAACATATAACGTGTCGTATTCGCACATAAGAATCCCTGTGCAGGACTTATTGTTGGCACTCTGTCGACAACTAGTAATTGACAACCTGTCGGGGATTGAGACTCAACTCGGGGAACTCGGTTAAGTTGGAATACATTTTTAGTAAATTCAACAAACGCACTATTACACTATTAAACCACAAAATAAAATAAATGATATTGAACAAAAAACTACGAAGACCAAACTGGATTGACAAATACAAATTAGAGCTGAGCAAACAAGAAATTAACAAGTTACTGCGTCTTTGCGCAAGTCTTGAAAATACGTTCTTATTCAGATCCAAGAACTGATTTGACAGTAGGTTTTCGTACAGGGGTGGAATTCCGTTTCACGATTCGACTCGAATTTGATATCAAACTCCCTAAAAGCAATTCCGTTCAACGAAATTCGACAATAAACTTGATTATTAAACTCGACATCTCTAGAGTAGTCGATTAAGTTGGATTATTTTGACATTAGGTATGACCTGTCAATGAGGTTGAATAATAAACCCATGGATTAAAATTTTAGGCAAGAAAAAATTTAGTTTCCAGGACCTATATCTCTGGCAATGCCTTTTCTGGATGACCTCTCCTGCAACAGAGGCTCTTTATGTTATTAGAACATTAATAAAAGGATTTTTATACAAAACCATGATACTGTGACGAAAATCTAATTTATGTTTGGTTTATTTATTTAAAAACTATTTACAATTTATTTCAGACGTACTATTTAATTTATGTAATATTTAGACACTAACTAACAATTCTAATTTATTTCTTAACTTTAACTTTTCAATACAATGTTCTATATTAAACTAAACTCGGCGCTGATACGTCGGCTATTTATATTAGTCCAACTCCGCTACTGGAAAATGCTAGAGGCTCGCGAAGATTCTACCCCTGACTAATCGGCACTCCCCGCCGTTCCAGCTGCTTCCAGTGCATCAGCGGCAGACATTCCGTCGTATTCTTGTACATTCGAGACGCGGTCCGGCTGTTTCCACACGTCAGCGTTGCTTCGATTACGAGTTGGTTGCGTGCGTACACAGGGTCGGATTAGGAATTCATGACAATACAAAACGCTACAAAATATAAACATAGGTAGGCACTCTTTATTCAGCTGAAAAAATTTTCCACAACGATTTTCAGAGAGTTACAAATTATCACTTTTTTCTTAGCTTATCCTTTCTTTAGCATAATAATAATAAATCATATTTTTTATCATTTACTCCATTTATAGTGATCCCTGCAACTCTGAAAGCAGGGTTGTTTGTGTCGGGGAGGGATGACTTTTATTATTTTCAATGGCGCTCCGAGGCAACTTACCAGATGAGGACAACCCGGAAAACCCCCACCAATAAGCATACAAACTAATAAATAATTCACGTCAAAGCTTGTTTAAACGTCGGAGTAGTTCGAATGTTTCATTATTCTGTCAAATTTCTGAAGGTTTCCGAAATCAAAACAGATCGAGTTATAGAATAGCTTTTCATAATTCGATCGAATTGTGAATCGTATCGAGATCGAGTTACTGGACACAGAACGAAATCCCAACCCAGTTTTGAGTCTGAAGTTTGTTGAAACATGAATTCTAGATAGACTGCGCAGAATCCCGTAAACTGATTTTGTTTATGTTGGAACAAACCTCATGATTTGCACATCCATTTTTGAAATACTGATTCAAAAAGTAAAGACTATTACTATCCTACAAGTTGATCGCTAGACAATAAAGAGTTCGCCTTGGCTGTTTTCAAAGACATAGAAGATGCTTTTGTTATGACAATCTTCCCAAGATAATAGGGGTTTTCTATTTAAACTCTTTTAGTTGGGGTAGGTGGGACCTAGGAGGTTAATGGGGGTGAGTTCTCTTAATGTCATTTTAGTTCCCCCTTCCTATCCTATTAAGCATTATTTGATATCATCTTTCGTTTGTGAGATATATTGTAAGTTTTTAAATTGTTCACACCGTAGAATAGCATGTCTCAACATAACAGGAACCATGAAAACCACATCAACCAGAGCCATGGAAGTCATTCTTAGTCTCACTTCCCTTGATAACATTGGCACGCCTCTGCACAGTTGGAATAGTACCTGATGTAGGATCTGATGAGGCGAGATGTCGCTTTTGGCAGGAGACGTTCGATACGTTTCCACTGCCTCCATCTCACCGAGATATGTCTTCCATAAGCCATATAGAGTTATAATAGACCAAATAGAAGAGCCGGAAGTGGCATATACGATTCATATCTACACCGACGGTTCTAAAACAAGACAAGGCTCAGGATGTGGAATATACTCCACATTCTTAAATATAAACATAAAATGGGCTGTGAGTAATAATGCCAGTGTTGTTCAGAGCTCGCGGAACTCTCGTAGCAGAAAAAGAAGTTACCAGAAACAATATTACTGGAAGGAACATGCTCATCTATAAAGGCAAGATTTCACGGTGCTAGTACTGGATTTAGTACTTGCTTAGCGTAAACATATATTTTAGTACCAAATTCCAGTACTAGTTTAAGTAATGATTCCAGTCGAGTAAATAGAAAGCATCTCTATTTACTGGCGCAAGTGGCTACTTGCACTTCTACTAGCCAATTAACTTGTGTTGTGTAAACACGCTTTTTAGCTGTGCGTCTAGCATTTGGTGCCAGTCAATATAATTTACAGTTGGCGTTTCTTAGTGTGTTATCAAATAATCTATCAAATTCACAATGTGCTCAAGATGGACGGTGAAATTTGTAAAACTACATGTAGAGATGAAAAATGTCTATGGAATTCGAATCTTCTAATTTATAGAAATAAACAAGCACGTGAAGCGGCAATAAAAAGAATTATGGATGCAATGAATGTAGAAGACTTTGGTTCAACAGATGAAAAAACGAAAATAAAAAAACTTGGCATCGAAATATGTACAAGAGTCACTTAAAATGAAAAAAATCGCAAAATAAAATCTAATTTTGTTCTGGCATCATTCTCATTGTGGTATAAGATCAATATTTTTTCAGAAGTATGTCAAAGAAAGCAGGAGACATTCTCATACAATTTCTGTATTCTTCAACATCTTCAATATCAAGTTATTTCAAAAGCATGTTAGAAGCACCATGGGTACTTCTAGCCAGTAATTTTCCTACCCAATTTTTTCTTGGGATTAGCTACTAATTCATTGCGAGAATTGTCGATTAACTCATCTGTTAATATTTTCACCCACGACATTATTGCTCTTTTCTTGAGTAAAATACATTTCGACTTGGAATTTATCTTTTAAACAACAAACTTTTGCGACTCGTAATTGTGTAATCCTTGGATTTTGTAATTTGATATTTTTCTTAAATTTAAAATCATATTACAGGAGAGCGTAAATCGGTCGACTGAAGAAAATAGGGTAGATATACATTGTGATTATTAAAATCGCAGAGCGAAAACTGGTCGATTCAGGTAAGAGCGCAACACAGTCGAGAGCAAACTGGCAGACACCTTTTGATCTTAGTGAATTGCCCCTCGTTCTCAGCTGATCTTCTAACATTAAACTACGACAAAAAATTACAATGGTTTGAAAGCTTACCATCATCAGGTCAGTTGCTAACAACTCCTTGGTTAAAATGGATAGGTCAAAAAAATACTTTGTTTCTTTTTTTTTATTTCGCGTTTTGTACAGTTTATAAAATACTTAAGAAAAAACTTTCCGAAAGAAATATACACTCAGTACTCGAATTCGGACACCCACTTGTTCTCTTGATTGGTACCTAAAGATTGTCGTGAGAAAATCCATCCTCTATCTGATACAAGTGGTATACGGTATAAATATGAATAAGTTATTGGATTATTGCCAGCATTTTTATATAACTATCTTGCAGTTATAAGAATTAATCCACAATTCACGATCACTAAAGAGAGTATTACAGAAGACAAGCCAGATCACGCAAACTGCTGGATTATGGTGGAGAGCGATAAATATTCGTAGTTATAAAAATATTGCTTCTCGCTGAGCTAGCAATGCTTTCGCAAGGACCCTGCAGAGCAGTTAGCAGGGGGTAGACGGAATGGGTCAAGCAGGTTTCAATCCAGTTTACAGGATGGGGACTTACTCGACTCGGGCCTTACATAATCTGTGTGACGATTACAAACAAACAAAATTCTTCTTGTTCGGGTTATCTGGCGCAGACTGAATAAAACAAGTAGAACTAGTGCTAGTCACTCTAGTCAGTCACAAATGTATATAAAACCAATTTATTACATTTCAAAATAGGGAAAACTAGTTCTGCTTATTTTATAACACTCAAAAGCCGTATGTAAATTAAATTTCGGATTTGGGAAAGAATCTTTGTCCAAAACCAGTTTTGCGTTTCTTTCAGGCATTACACGAATTCGAGTATTGAACGTAATATATCTCTGTAATAAAAAATATTTTTACAAAGTTAAATATATTGTCGGAAATAGAATAGATTTTGATCCTTATATATATAGAAAAAATATCAGTCGTTCACTTTTTGAATTCTACGGTAGGTTCGTCGTCATCAGTCCCTAATAGTAATTGGCGGACGCTCTTGTTTTTATCCAAGTATCTGCAAAAAAAAAACAAAGTTCCTCAAAACAATTTAAATTAACTACTTTTTTTGTAGACAATCAATTACACTGATAAAATATTCATAAATCATAATTTAGTTTTATAGTGGGTTGTATAAGTTGGTTTTTAATCGCTTAATAAAGTGTCATAGAAATTTGGTGGCGATGTACATAGACAATGCCTGCGGGATCCACCAACAATCAGCAAAAGACTTCAGATAAACACACGCATCGACGCTTTTTGAAATAATATCATAATGTTACATATTTATAGTCTTAAATAACCTGTTCCATCGAAACCAAACAGAAAAGTCAAGTCTCCTGATGCCAAGAATATAAGTAACGACTGTAGTCAACTTGTTTATCCGTAAAATATGTAAAACTTTAGTTTATTTGTATACTTATTTGTACTTTTTGTTTCCTTTTTTGTACTTTTGTTCATAATAAAATGTTTACTTTTTACTGGAATATTTTTATTTTGAAGGTTAGTCTAAAATTAAATTTGAATGTGTTTTGAAACCGAAAATTCTTGTCACTTTTTTTTGGGAAGTTCATCTATATTGGGGTTTTGACTGTACGTTTTAGGGGCGCATATTCGGGACGGAGGGGTAATGGGCGTAATTACCCCCTCCAGAATTTTTAAACCTAATTTTATAGGTACTAAAAATGTATTATTAGAAATAGTCTTAAATATTACCACTACTATATGAATTTTATACCGCCAATAATAAGAAGCGTAGAGTAACTTTTGGTCATGTCGCTATTTTTAAACATGGATCAATATCACGGAAGAGTGCCATCTAGCAATCTAAGTCCAACTAAATGAGACATGTAAACCTATGGATATTGGTTACTGTGTCAACTACCGATCTTTTACTGAAAACGATCCACGGTAGTATAAGTACCAGTTGATTACATAATAACACTTATATGGATAGTTATCCAGAGGGCGGTCATCCTGAATACTTGCCTCCTATCGTTAGAACGTTTTTACAGGTTTGATGATCGAACCTAATACATTTTTTTATAAGTTTCAGAAACGAAATATGTTCTTTCTTGGGATTGAGTTCATTCGTAAGTTTAGTTTTCTATAGGGTTCATCTGATAATGGCTTGCCAAAACCAAAGCCATTAAATGAAAACCCACCAAACAAGAAAATTAACATTATGTTGAGATTGCAAAAGAGAAGGTGGTCGTGTTGTCAATAGTTATGGTTCCAGATTACTAGCGAAAGTAAACGAGTGATTTATATACTATTTTTTTAAATTAAACTTAGAAACAACATTTCTACAGCCGTTACCAGCATATAAAAAAACTATCTCAAAACGCAGGATTTAACATTACATAGTATGTGTCTATACCCATGTACCATAGTTGGCGCACGTAGATTGTTCGTGAGATTTGGAACGTAGGTACCACTGGTGGTACACGTCGTCGCGAAAGTGTTCATTTCGGGCACCAATAGATTTAAACCAAGTTTGTAGTTACGTACATGTTTCTCATACCTGCATCATTAGAAATGACCGTTACAAATTTAGTTGGTGTAAGTTTAGTTTACAATATTTTCCTGATAATGCTATTTTCTCTTATGTCAAAACTCACAAAATGAATAGATGCTAATTTATCCATAACAGTTCAACAGCCGGTTACGAGAACGTTCATTAAAATTTAGTAGCTTGATAAACTTTGTAAGTTAGGTTTAGACTAAGTAATTTGAAATTTATGTAATTTAGATAGTTCAGGTTCTCAAGCTACGTCAACAGTTATTGAACTCATAAATTTTAAAGAATCTTCTTGGAACAGTGGTAAATATTTTAAATAAGACATAAGCCCTTGTCAACCAAAACAATGGAGTAGAGACAAAATAAAAATGACGCTCATTTGCATAATCATAAATGATAAAGTATATTAGGTCTTTTCCTTTGCATCGAAAGTGTAGCACTGAGCTACACCACTTCTGAAAATATTGTTCCATTTATAGAACAGGAGTAAAAGTTGGAAATGCTTTTGCCAGTTCTCCCACTTTATACACATAAAATGACAGGTTTCCGTAGGATCTCACCGAAGTGGACGCGATACATTGGCGTACAAAATTATTTTATAGATGTTAATAACAATTTCGAGTAAATAGTTTAATAAATTGTGAATAGCTGTTGAAATTTTGTAAAATTATAATTTGAATATTATAATACATGTTTAATAATTATTTATAATCCAGAAATACATGCGATTGTCCGGTTTCGCCGATAACAATTTAAAATTACTTATTCTATGAAACGACACTGGCAGGTAAACATTACTGTGAAATTCTCGGAGCCGCCCGACGTGGTTTGACGTTTACCCCCTCTCTACCTACCAAAAGACTTTTCAACTTTTACTTTCTCTATACAAATTGTATGGATGGAACAATATTTTCAGAAGTGACGTAGCTCAGTGCTACACTGTCGATGCAAAGGAAAAGACCTAATGTATAGCAGCTTCAATCAACAAGCCCAATAACTAACATAATATGACAAAAGCATATAGTATATGCTTTTGTGGCATGTTTGGCGCCTGGCTGTAAGTTCATATGATTGTGATGTCACACCTGTCAAACAAGGTCAGAAGGACCATACCATTATATTATCAAACTTTGTGTCCTCATCACGGAAATGTTAGTGACGATGCGCATATTTTTTAAACTTCTGAAAGTATGTGTGTGTAATTGCATTTTCCTAAAGATAATTGAGGATAAAGAGAACTAATGGTATATCCGAACATTTGACGTTGTTTAGGTTGGCGCGACAATTGCCATGTTGCTATGATGATAACATTGGTTTGTTTGGAATCAGTAATAACGTCCCTCTATCACGTTTTATTAGCTTTTTGTGATTACATTGTTAAGGTAGGTAGGTAGGTAGGTAGGTAGGTAAGTACTTACTTAAAAATTATATAAGGTGGCAGAATACATATTGATATCAGAGATAAAGATACTACAAGCCTTTTTTATATTGATTTACCTTATAAAATGTAAAACCCTAATGGTGAATCGAAATACCTATTGATGTTAAAGCGTATGTTATATGTAAAAAACGTCAAACATATACTAAATATATAAGTACTTCTAGTCCAGGATATTCCTCCCAGAAAGTGGGTCAGTAGTCATATTAACACGTATATAAAAAAACGATTCGTTTGGCCTGCGCCTTTTATACATTTTTTCTCACATTTAAGCAATAGCATATTATAGTTATTTATCTACAAAGATAACGCCCAGAGAGCGCCAGGATACAGCCCGAGGGCCTAACCCAAGGGATAGATGTTGCCGGATGGGCGTTATCATTTAATAATGCAAGTGGTGCATACAAGATTTCATTTTTCATTATTTAGTTGATTTCAAAATTCAGTTCCATTCAGTCTTATTTAGTAGTCAGTTCAATTCAGTATTCAGTCTTATTCTATAATCAGTTCAATTCAGTATTTAGTTTTATTCTGTAGTTAGTTCAATTTAGTCTCCAAACCATTAACGACGCTTCTCCAACCCGACGCTTCTCCTAGCCGATGCTTCTACGTTCCGACGCCCCGGCGCATTATTTTAAAATAAGCTCCGCTTACACTTATCAAACAACACTACAGAAATGTCTGGAATAGAAACGGACGACATACGTCCAACGCTCAGACTGGTGAGTCACTTAACTTATTATAAAAAATGTATTATAGAAATTCATTATTCAACGAAGTCACCATCCTAAAATTATTTAAGAATCTTTACCTAAATGCCGATACACCCTAACTGGCTAGTAAATTTAACAGCTCAGCTAATTGTGGTGAATGATAATTCTGAAAACTAGATTCTCATTTTTTAACAGATGATTGGTACTGCAGGGTTGTACTGTCTTAACTAATTATCTCTCAATCTTCGCACCGTAGGTAACTCTTGTGTTGGTATGGGTTCTGAGGAGTTATAACTATGAAACTATGAGACTCGTAACAACTTTTATTAATTTAACAAACAGAAAAATACAGGTTAAAAACTTTACGCCGGGTTCAAAGCTCATCGACCCTTTCTCATCGCTTGCTTCGAACCGACTGCTGTTCCACGATTCCGCCGTTGTCGCGCACACGCGCACCTTTCGAACTGAAATGCCAGTGGCGGCTCACTGGGTACCACTTCACCACCCCCCAACTTAAATGATGCTTTACAAACATAAGCAGTGTTTAAGTTCAAACAAAACAAAAAAAGAAAAACTACGGTAACATTCATATAGCTGTAACTATTATTATTCACAGCATGACTGTACAAAAAAAATAATAACAATAAAACAATAAACACACTAGTTAGAAATAAAAATAAAAGTAAACTTTACTCCAAGATTGGGGAGACCTTATAAGGTTTTAAATTAATAATATTTTGTTTCGAAATTTCTCTCCCATCTATGTCCCCTATTATATACGAGTTGGGGCCAGCTACCCGCAATATGATAAAAGGACCCTCAAAAAGCAAAAAGAACTTTTTAATGGTTCGTTCTTCAGCCGAAGACCGTAAGTGCGTTCGGACCAAAACCCTATCTCCCGGTTCAAAAGAAATCGGCCGAATCTTGTTATTAAATTTATCAGCTTGTTTTTTCGCGCGCTTCTTCAAATTTTCTCGAGCGAAGTTCCATATAATCTGTCTGGGTACCTCCGGTGGCACCTGACCCGGGTATTTAACATATTTTTGTATGGTCGGTTCCGGATTGTCCCCTGTTTGCAAATAATTAGGCGAATAACCTGTGCTCAGACTGACGCTATTATTTAAACATTTTTCTATGAAGGATAAAACATTCGGCCAACCTGTATGTTTTTCGAAACAATAAGCACGTAACATCCGTACTACCTCTTTGTTATATCGCTCGGTGAGGTTGCCTTGAGGGAAGTATGTGGATATTAATTTGACTTTAATGTCAAGGCTATTTAGAACTTCCTGCCATTTTGGACTCGAAAATTGTGTGGCATTATCAGAGAGGATAGCTTTTGGCTTCTGAACCTCGGTACAATAATTTTTTGTCACACGTCTCAGAATGGCCTGAGTGGTAGCTTTTTTTAAAGAATATAATTTTACATATTTTGAAAACGCGTCCACGATTACCAATAGATATGTTACACCCCCCCTTCCTTCCGGTAAGGGTCCAATTAGATCCAAGCAAACGAGATCTCCTATATTATTGGGGATAATCGAATTTAAGTTGCCCCTGCTCGAGGGCGATGACTTGGACTTTTGGCACAGGTCACAAGCCGCTACAATCTGCCGTACCTGCTTTGCCATTTTTGGCCAGAAAAATAAACCGCGCATGTACAGATAAGTTTTGGTCTTGCCAAAATGTCCCATTGTTTCATGATGCGCCAGTACCAGTTCAGAGCATTGCGATTTCGGCACACATAGCTTAAAACCCGGGTTTTTATTGTTACCTCGCTTAAATAGTAAACCTTCGTGCATTACAAACCACTCTCGAATTTTTGTTTCGGCCGCATTACTCTCTAAAATTCTAATCTTTTCTCCTATCCATTTTTCGTCTAATTGGTCGTCGCGCATTTTTTTAAAATTTTTTCTTAAGTGGTCAAAGTTGTCGCTGATTTTAAAAAGACATATATTTGCATCTGTTCTAGAGTCTGGCTTATGATCGATCGTATTGTTTTCTGGAATTCGTGATAGAATGTCCGCTGTCACATTTTGAGAGCCACTACAATGCTCTACTGTAAAATCGTATTCCTGTAGGAACATTGTCCACCTAGCTAATCTCGAAGTTCGTAACTTGCAAGTCAGTATGTACGATAACGATTTATGATCTGTTCTAATTATCAGATTCCGGCCTAAAACTAAAACGCGCCATTGTTTTAGACAATGAATCACCGCATACGCCTCCTTTTCTGTTACGGTATAACGCGATTGACTACCCTTTAAAGTTGAGCTCGTATATGCTATAACCATTTTGTCTCCTGTCTCGGAATACTGAAATAAGCTGCCACCGACGGCCACTGCAGATGCGTCACATTGTATGTAAAACGGTTTCGCGAAATCTGGGTGATGTGCAATCATTGCTTTTATAAAAGCATCTTTAATTGATTTGAGCGCCTCCTTTTCTTCTACCCCCCAAACCCATTTTTGATTTTTCTTTAATAATCTTAACAGAGGCACGGTTAAATGAGCGTAATTTTCCACAAATCTTTTTTCATAATTAACAAGCCCCAAGAATCCCCTTAACTCCCTTAGGTTACGTGGTTGGGGGAAACTACTAATGGTAGCAATCCGTTTGGGGTCCAAAATTATACCAGTCGTTGTAATAATGTGTCCTAGGAAGTTTACTTCTGACCGTAAAAACATCGACTTACGTAGCTTAACCGAAAAATTTGCAGCTTTTAATTTTTTAAACACGATTTTTAAATGTTCAAAGTGTTTATCAATGTGATCTGAAAATATAATAAGGTCGTCTACGTAGACGCATGTAAATTCTCTGCATTCGTTACCTAAAACCTGACTTACACACCGAATTAAGCTAGCCATTGATGTAGCTAGGCCGAAAGGTAGCCGACAAAAAGTATAACTCTTTCCTTCATAAACGAAACCTAAATATTTAGTGTGTTCTGGTTTGATCCTTATCTGCCAATAAGCTGCGGTCAAGTCTATGGTGTTAAATATTTGTCCCCCTTTAAATTTAAATAATAATTCACCCGGATTTGGTGGAATTACCGGATCATTGGTCATTTTTTTATTTAATGCCCTGGCATCTAAACAAACGCGCACCGACTTGTCCTTTTTTGTTACACACACTAAAGGAGAAATAAATTCCGTTTTCTCCGCTCGTATAATTTCCCATTGTAACATTTCTAAAATCTGATTTCTTACATCGTTTGCAAACGCGAAAGGTATCGGATAAACATGAGGCCTAAAATCCCTGTCATCATCTTTTAATTTTATTTCGTGCCAATAATCATTGACACAGCCGGGTGTCTCTGAAAAAATATCTTTAAACTCAATTAATAAATTGAAAAGCTCTTGTTTCCTACTAATACCTTTGTTTGCGGTCGCCCGAAGGTCATCGTCGCTATACCGATGTTCACCCATTGGCGTGCATCTGAGTTTGTCGTCAGTTGTTACCGTTTCTGACGCTCCTTGACAAACATTAATTTGAATTTCGGATTTTTTTATTTTATAAGTTATTTTTAGGTCTATGACGTTTTCATTTATTTTTAGCTTTAATTCTGATTTATCAAAATTAATGATACCTTTATATTTGGTCAACCAATTAGACCCGAATAATAAGTCGCTATTTAGACTGGGGATTACTAAACAGTTTACATCTATGTTCTCTTCTGCTATTTTAATAGGCAATAAAATTTGTTTTCTAACGCGGTGTGTTTTCTTTCCAGCCGCGACAGTTATATTTGTATTAGAAACGGGTAATTCAGGGATGTTACTAAGGGTTTTACAAATTTTTAAAAAAAATTCTTCCGAAATAGCGCATACGTCGGCTCCGCTGTCGAGTAACACGTCCATTTCTTTGTTGTCGAGGGTTATTTTAACAGACGGTGCTAACCTTTCAAAATCGTCTTCTACGTCCTCAGGGTCCGATAGCATATCTTCCGGATCACTGTTAAAAATTGTTATCTGCCTAACATTTTCGCCATTGGCGTTATTCGCATCTCTGCCCCTATTCCTAACATTGGGATTATAATTATTAACGTTACGCCGCGAGTTAAAGTTTTGGTCCGAGGCGTAGGTTTCGTCAATTTTTCTCAAGTAAGTTTCTACCTGATCGATAGTTTTTAACCCTAAAATTACTATCCCTCTTTCGATTTCCGCAGAAAAGTGCTTGGAGAGCATACTGATTATTTTTTCTTCCGATATGATTTCGTTCAGAAAACCGGCCACACCCACCAAACTTAAAAAATAATCCGCCCTACTTTCCCCTGTAAATTTCCCATAATTTAATTCTAAAAAAAGTTCTCTTTGCTTTTCTACCCCCCAAAATTTTGATTTAAAAACATTTTCGAAATTATTATAATTTTCAAACTGACTTTCTTTTATAGCTGCCCAATCGGCTGCTGCACCCCTCAAACAATTTATTGCTAAACTTAATTTGCTTTCGTCAGGTACTCCTGCCTCTATAAAAAGTTTATTTAATTTGTTTATAAAATTCATAGGGTGAGTCCTACCACTGGGGTAAAAAGTTAAATTTGACCCCCCTAGTTCACGCCAGTTTGCAAGATATGCCTTAGTGTTTATTGTAAGAGTGTCAGTATTTTTTTTAGGAATATCGTTATTTAAAATATTGACTTTTACTTTATCTTTACTGTCTATAGTTTGAACACTTGTTGCCAATGATTCCACCATTTTATACAAATTAGCAATGTTCGCGGATAGTTCGTCGATTTTTTTATCTATTAAACCGCTACTCGCCTCACTTTCCACCTCATCTGCTTTCCGTTGGTTTTTTCGCCTTGGAGGCATCTTTTTAGTTTATGGATTTATCGTTTATCCGTTTACGACGAGCACGCCGGTAACAACACAAAAGTTTTACAACTAATTATACAAATGGAAAGCTCTCACCAGGTTTTTTTTTTTTAGTTCTGTCGAACGCTTCGATGCTCCTGTTCCTGCTGCAATGCTATGGCCTGCAGCTTCTCTCTCCTTTCGTCGTTGCACGTGGATACTAGGTGCACACTTTTCACTTTACTTAATTTATAACTCCTCGCCGCTCGTTGGGTGCCAATTATGTGTTGGTATGGGTTCTGAGGAGTTATAACTATGAAACTATGAGACTCGTAACAACTTTTATTAATTTAACAAACAGAAAAATACAGGTTAAAAACTTTACGCCGGGTTCAAAGCTCATCGACCCTTTCTCATCGCTTGCTTCGAACCGACTGCTGTTCCACGATTCCGCCGTTGTCGCGCACACGCGCACCTTTCGAACTGAAATGCCAGTGGCGGCTCACTGGGTACCACTTCACTCTGAACACAAGGCGTAGTTCGCTGGTACTGATTTGGAACTATTCTAGTAAGATTACGCTACATAAACTCCCCATCGGTGAGTCTGGATATAAGGCACCCTCGGACATGGGTGAAATTCAGTTTTTTTCCAGACATACTTCATTTTTTTTACAACAAAAACAAACCACATTTTCATTTTGCTTTTTTTTATTAACTTAAACAGCTTCTTTGCGACTTATTTAGCAATATTTGGCAAAAATCGACATAAAAGGGCGAAGGGGCATTCGGTGATCGGGTATTTTAACCGCGCTTATCGTTCAATTAATATAGTTTCCCCCTGACCCAATAAGTGTCAGACACTTTTTTGAAACCCCGCCCGGAAGCTCTCAAATCCAGGGAAATCGGACGGATGTCAGCTCTACCTTTAGGTCATAAGATATAGCCATTGTAAGTTTTTAAAATGTCACTCCGTAGATAAGTGGTACAGCGTTTGTGCCACCTCGTCCCAGAATAAAACGAGTATGAAACACGTATTGTCTCAAGCCGTAGGTACTCAACGTGTTAAAAAAGCAAGGAAATATGATAATTGTAAAGTAAAAGTGACAAAGACGTATTTAGCCGATTTTTACCTTTCGATCGTTTCTGTTATCTTCAACGTCATTAAATAACTGCTTTTCACTTGTAGGAGACGTGTTCAACATCCATATACCTTTCTTATTTCAATCGTATACACGAATATTGTAACATAAACCTTCGACGCTTGATATGACTGGGACTCTGGAAAAGGAATTTGGGAATTGAGAGGATTATTAAAAAAAAAGACGGTTATTTTTGGAACTTAACTTTTAGCGAAAACAATACTAAAACCGCATCACGTTCACAGAGAAAGCGTTTTGAACGTTTTTAGCAGCTTATACTTTTGGAGCGTGTTTCGCTTCTAGAAACAACACAATACAAATAAATGCAAATGACCACATAAAATGCGTGTCAAGCTTCTCGCGCTTCTCCCTCTGCAAGAAAAGTTGGAAATAAATTAGTTTGTTTTTTGACGTGTAGCGTGCAGCTTCTTTTGCGTTTTTTTATGTTGTTTATTCGACGTGTTTATTTTATTATAATGTCATTTAGTCTGTTTTAACTTACCTTAATAGATACTACTAGCCTTTCTTCATATCTCTATAATTTAACTATATTTTTTGTAATAGAAAATGAATTCTCTTTAATATTAAACCAAAGTGGCCATTCTAGTGTACCTCGAAAATGTTTTCAGTAGTCCACCGGAATTAGACAAAAAATTAGCCTGAAAATTTTTAGTACAGCATATAGACTCAGATAACAATGAAAATGTTGACTTCTTTTGATAAAATTTCACTATACGCAGAGATGAGAATGATCGGAAGAAGGTATTATATATACATATAAACATTTTTCGGCGGTTTTTCCCAGATTTTTGTATTTTACTTGAAAACGATGCGTTTTCATGAAACATTTTACTGTACTTTTTTTGAAGAACAAACGATTTTCTATCGATTATGTCCTTATACATTTTTTGCTAAATTTTATATAAACTGTATATATTTTGTTACTTTTCGCATTTTACATAAAAACCATGCACTTGGTGAAAAATTTCATCAGAACAAAGTTGTAGAGCAAAAAATTTTCTATCGAACCTATGAAACGAATTTTCCGGAAACCCATTCATTCTGCCGGTACAGTGCATGCGCAAAAGTTAAAGTCGCTTTTTCAATAAACGATCATTCAATTTTTGTCAAAACTGTCCGCTATTATATAAAGAAGAGCGGTATTGCTCGAATTACGCATTAATGGGACACCCTGTATATTTAAGTCATGCACCCATAGAGATTTATCACTGTTATTCAATTTTAATTAATATTTTCCACTAACAATAATTTTCTAGCAAGTTTACTTAACGCCATCTTGAAAGAAATTTGAGACTGGAAACTCGCCACAACCCTGTGGCATGTGTTTTTATTTATGGACACATCTGAAGGAAATCTTAAAACGCTCAAATCGCTTAAAAAGTTAAAAACGCCAAACACGCTTCAATTGTTCAAATCGCTTTCTGTGTGGTCTGTGTACACTTGGTTATATATCTATGGTGTACACTAAGGTACCGTATTTTATCAAAATTGGTGGACTTGTCCATTTTTCTTTTTAGAGTATAAAAACCCCATAAGCGAGATCATTTTTAATGTTACCTTTATTCAAGCAGAATAAGTAGTGAGTCATTTAAACGTGATCTGTTTTATTTTGAACCACAGATAACATCCGATCTAATTAAATTAATTGTTTATGTAATATAATTTTATTTTGTACCGTATGTTTATTTATTAAATAGATGGTGGGATATTTTTAATCCAAATCCAGAGATATGTGTTAATTTAACCTATTTGTAGCAAACATTCTTAAGGATAGTATTGTTTTTACAAAGTAGCCTTTTTTGGCAAGATGTATATAGGGCGAGGCTTTTAATTTGGCATAACCAAATATTGCGACAACAAAGTGTTATATTAAAAAATGATTTAGACAAATAATGTAATTTGACATTGAACAGTCAGCAGACCAGTCTTAGGCCCGTATTTATAAACAAAACTCAGCTGAGTCGGACTTGGGTAAGTCGTCCTTGAACGAAAATCGAAATTCGGTTACAACGTCTCTGAGGTTCCAGGTTGTTCCGGTGTTACACTGGAATTTAGAGATGGATATTTGCAAATATGAAACTGTTATGTACATTTACGGATTTGTTACTACCCATCTCTAAATTCACGCGATATAACCGAACTTCGATGTTCGTTCAAGGACGACTTACCCAAGTCCGACTCAGCTGAGTTTTGTTTATAAATACGGGCCTTAAGTGACCGAGTCTGTATTTTTAAGGACTTTTCGAGGTCAACTTTTTTTAAAGGAAACCTGCACTTATTTTATGATTAGGATTGTTTTTCACAAGCAAATTGAATTATTTTACATGAATATACATGAACTTATTAAGATCATAAGTTCTTCATTTTTTCATTGATTTATTGATTTGATTATTTATTTACAAGCGATATGGGATTGAATGTATTGGGTGATGTTGTAACTATATACATTCTAAACCATATATTTTTTACAAAGAAACCTTATAGTAAGTAATTTATTTTAAGGCTTAGATGGCGATCGCGTTTATAGCAGCACAGATGGGATTTATTTTTAACAATCTTCTAAGGGGATTTCTTACAAACCATTTAAAGATATTAAATAATGAAAGGTGGAATGTACTTTATACAAAGCGTAAGGTGTATGTGATCTAACTTGGATTATCTACAGCAGCAGCTTTGACGAAATATTCTTTGTTCCATGTTGTTTAAATCTATATGAGTTATGAAAAAAGTTAAAATAAATAAGAATATATGTGATTTTATCCACTTCCAAATACTGAAAATATATCATATCTATTTTTGAAAATGCACAATACATTTGTCAACGTATAGAAGTGCATAAAATACACCAGGTGCTATGTATATGTTAAAATGACCATATATGGTTTTGCCATCTAACCACAGCCATAATGGATTTGAAAAGGTCGCGGTGGACGAGAGAGGACAAGTGTCAAACCCCTACAATAATCCAGTCGCATGTTCAAAGTAGAGATTTTGGCGCGATGGTTCAGCGCTTCGATCATATAAACACTAGATTCGTAACGAATACTTTACATTAGGTTCTTTCGTTCGTCCCACTGGTGTAGGAATGAACTACACCAACGGACACTACACCTTTCGTTTGGCCCGGTGTAAAATCCACTACACCATCCTGTCGGCGATGTGGTGTCCACTGCTAGATATTTTCTCCATCAGCTATTTAGCAGGAATGAATTACACTCGACATGTGTATACGGAGGAAGTAAACTAGGTAAATAAGGTGGTGTAATTGACACTGGTGTGTACACTGCACCAACAGTGAAAGAAAGACCCTATTATTACAAACGTTTTTTTCCATCATCTCGTGTTTAATTCGGCTATTGTTGTTATTACAATCTTAAACATAGGCGGGTAAAATAAAAATTTAAGAGGATCAGCAACAAATTTATTAACGATAATTGTCGACTAAAATAATGTTATTCATTAAATTTTAATAAAAAATACCGTTGTAAATATTCGATGGCTCAATCAAGTACTGCCACAAATAAAATACTATTGTTTCGAGAAATTTCATTTTTAAATTTTGTAAGTCTCTATTATCATTATTTGGTTTTTGACATAAAATCTTTATATGTTATTTAAAAGCTTCTATATTTTGCTGTTATAATTAACGATTACAATTATAAAAGCGAGTTATTGCATAGTTTGTAAAAAGTTTAGATGTTTTTGAAGAAAGTAACTCGAATTGAGGCAGTTTTAGACACAGTTTGTGACTAGATTTTAAATAATTGTCGGGCATCTTATTTAAAGTAAAACCTTAATGATGTTTTGCATCCATTGAACCAAAAATGTAATTTTCTTTGTTTTTTGACTTGTGGCGTTTTTTTGATTGACCCATCGAATGTCGATGGTTAAGAGCACAATAACGGCATGTTTAAGAAAGTGACATTTGAAATTATGCATATTAAAATTTTGAGCGTTTAAGTCACAGAAACTATTTCAGATATATGGGCAAACGAGGTACATTGTATAATAAAACTTAATAAGCAGTTACAAGTAGCCTTAAAGTTATTACACTTATAATGAAAAAATGTTCGGACATAATATAAATGTGTACAAATTTGTCTAGGGGGAGGAGGGTATCTGATCAACAAGACCGAAATAATAAATCAATAGTTTACATTTCACAATCATATTTTTAGTTTTATTAAACTTGGCATTAAACAATCAGAATCAGGTACCATACAAAAAATATTAGTATGTCTTATACAATAAGTAGTAGTAAGTATATTCAATTAAATATGCTTAAACTCTCATACTTCGCTGATTGGCAGCATTCGTTTGGAGTCCAATAAAAAAAAATGTCCACGATATCAAGTGTATAAAAATTAAACTCCCTTGCCTCTAAAATCACAACAAGTAAATACTTATTGGTTGTGATATTTGGCAAAACGAAACATTTTCCTTTTTCTCAGTTTATTAAATGTAGAAGGGCTTATCAATGATAATTTTATAATTAATAATGGACATTTTGGAGACTAGGGAATTTAAATTTAAAGTTTTTTTTTTCATTCAGGGGACTCTATGACACCCGAGTCCAAACTTTGAGATAGCTCAATTTGAATAACTTTTGAGTGGATACTGAAACTTTTTCTTTTCTCTTAAACTGAATTAGTGATTATTCACTGATTATGTGATTGTCAAATATACCACAGGAATAACGGTAATCGACTTAGCTCTGGAAAACGATCAATAGTTACTGGCTTTCGCTGATTCGTTTAAAGAAAGTTAGCTAATTTTCTGAGTATTGCATGTGGGACACTGGCAGTTTTGTTCCCAAAATATATAATCGCTAATTTTGCTATTTCTAACCTTATATTTGGAGCAAATCCAGTATAAGGTGGAAAATATGATTTAAGGAAACCACGAAAGCCTAAATCACAATACAATAGTGTTACAATGGCTATATACAGGCTGTTTCAGAATAATGTACCATAAACAGAGGGACTTGTAGGTCTTAACTAATTATTAAGAAAAGATAAATATAATTTTCATGTAAAAGTCTCAGTTTTCATTCTACAGGGCGATAAAGTTAATTTCATAAATACATAATTTTCTAAATATCTTCCCTTATGGTAAAGATTTTTAACTTAAAAATAACATTCCATTACAGAGATTTTTCAGTTTAGGCGTACTCAAACATGAAATCTATGTAAAATTTTATCAAGGGCCGATTTCATAATGAATATTAAAAGGTCCATTAACTAATGGGACCAAGATCTTATGGACTTAATGGTCTCATTAGATAATGTATCTTTTAATATTCATTATGAAATCGTCATTTAATAATGTACATAACTTTCATGTGTGAGTAGGGCTAAAACTGAAAAATCTCGGGAGATCAATCAAGAGCCCCTTTTTGTGACAAATTGCGAGAGGAATAATTATTAATCTTAATTTTTATGAAATATAGGTTGTTCAAAAAGTTGGGATTAAAATTGTTTTCTTAGCCCTTGATTCTATGCTAATGGGCTATCGTAATAATAATGATTAAGTAACAAGTACATATTTTTAAGTCTTTAACGTAAGGGAAGATATTTAGAAAATTATGTATTTATGAAATTCACTTTATCACCCTGTAGAATGAAAACTGGGACGTTTAGAGGAAAAACTTTACTTAATAATTATTAAAGATCTACAAGTTTACAGTACTCTATTCTGAAACACCCTATATATGATATAAGGATAGGTAGGTTTATCTAATACAAAGAGGCACAGAATCCAGTATATCCTGGAGGTCTGCGGCTAGAGAGAGGTCTTAAGCATCTGGGAGCAGACGAAAGTTTGGTTGGGGAAGTTTTTTGGTAGGTTTATAGAAGAGGGAAGGTGGGGTACGTGTCAGTGAGTTTGAAGTGTTTATTTGTGTGTAGGTACTTAAAATAGCACTTTTTTTTTGGAGGGGAGCCCTAGTCATTCTGGGGTGACCGTACTTACCACCGCCGTTCCTCTGGCTACGCCAATGTACAATAAGCATGAAGTTAGACAATAAGGTTATATTTAATCGAATATGTCCAACATTTGACAAATGTGCAGAAAATATTTCTTCTAGAGGTTAATTCGAGAGTATTAGGTATTGGATAATCAATTTTTGTCAAGTTGTAAAGACAGACGTTCTAGTTGTGTCTGTTTCAATAAAACTTAAATATATTACTATTGTGCCCTTAGCCATCCATCTATGTAATTATAATAAAGAAAACAAATACAATAAGTTGAAGTTGACAGAAAAACATTATGATCTAATAAATTAGAACAAAAGTAGCAAGTAATGACTTTTTCCAAGTCTTTATAAATCCTGTTATATAATGATGCCAAGCTGGTGAAACTAAATAGTCCAATTCGAATAACTTTTTATTGAACTTATATTCACTTGATTCTAATATTTTTTTTCAGTTTTGGTTTTTATTGTACTGGAAAAAATGAGAATTGTACAGGAATCTAGAGCAGTAGAGCTTACTGCCAAGCTGTTATACACCATTTTCTAAACATATCTCATCATCACTGCAATACTATCACAACTAGGAAAGGTAAAAGATTAACCGTCTATATTTACATGAAGAAAAAACTAACATAATTTACTTTGGCTTAAATTTTTAATTCATTATGCAGTGGTTTTGTGTTTGAATTTTGTGTACCTACTATTTCATACATAACTCAAAATGGCGATATTTCGAGTTGCGTTGGGATTGTATTGATGCTGAGATGTGTTACTTATCAACAGCTTAAATTTATTGAAATAATTCAAAATAAAAGATTATGTTTCAAGAGATAAAGGTTTTATATACTTACCTTTATTTAGATCATTTATGCCCATTGAATATATCAAATACATTTTCAAAAATATCTAATTTCATTTCATAAACGACAAAAGCATCTAGCAATGAAAAACTTGTATTCGTGCAAAATTTATTTAAAAATACGAAATACATTTTTTTCATTGCTAATGTAAGCTACATGCACACAGCAACAACTTCTATTGGTTCGTTTTAAAAAAGGTATCTGCTACGCTGTTACTAAATGGCCGTCACTTTAATTTTTTTCTTTCACCACAAAAATTGCCTGTTATCAATTTTGTTCCAGCTCTTAAACCTCTGTATCCTGTATTTCTACATTTTTTCAAAATAGTGGGAAATGATGCTATCGGCGCAGATTATACTTCCACAACTCAACCAATTAAAACGGGCCAATGGCCAATATCAAATCTTTCAATCGAATCATAGATGGGGTGGTATCGCTTTCTAAAGATTCCAGTTTCATGTGGCGGACAAAATATAGTCAAGATTATTTATCTAGTATTTATATGATCGAAGGTCCAGCGTGACCCTTATATTACAATGAAAGAGCACTTCAGTATAGTGACGGTAAAATATATAAGACCAAGGTGTAGAGAGGCAAGGTGAAAGAAATCAGTGCATAATAATGATTGATTTATCTTTAGTACCGCAGTAAGTTATCTAGAATCTAGATAAAAATAATAGTAGTTGGGTATCAAAAATATGAACTGTAATTGGTAGATTTATTTTTTGCAGTGTTTTACTACCTACAATGGATATGAAATATATTCGTTCAGTTGAACACTTTTTCGTTTTGTAATCTGTGCTTAGATAAGCCAATATCCATGTGGGTGTAGAACAAATTAATTTGAATCGCGAATACTTCCACTGAATGTTGCCTATGAACCAAATTATTTTTTTGTAATTATAAAATACAATTTTACCTGCGACCACACATATCGCACTATAGTCTTACGGGAAGTGCTCTATATCACCCGTGTGTAAATATCTACTTTCCGCATCAACTGTCAAATATGTCAAACCCTTAATTTCTATTTTGATCGATCTATGTAATGTCCATATTAATAGTAAAATAGATTTGATGATTAAATCGTGAATACCTACCTAGTTTCTAAATATTAATTTTCAACAAATTATTAAAATAATTTTAAAGCAATACATTAGTTTTTTCTTGGTTAATATACATATTTGATTAGGTATTTTATGTGATATAAGCTTGTTAGCTCAGTTCGTAGAGCGTTCAACTTAATCAACTTTGCATGTTTCGACCACATCGCGACACGGTTTCAATCCCCACAGATGGAAGCAATCTTTTTTTATTTTTGACAAATATAAAAATAGAAAAAATACGACTATTGTTATTTATTTTAAATAAGTACATTTTTTTATGCATATAACATCTGCAGTTTCTTTTCGCTATTTATTTTATATTATTTTAATTAATGTTCAGAAAATAATTGTAAGTAGTTAAGTAGAAAATCATCTTTAATGATAAAAAAAGTTCTTGTTAAAGTTGTTTATCTTATTATTTGCTGTATTTAAAAACTGAACTAATAAAAAACAGTAATTATTGTATTCTAATATTTTTTATACCTAATGTTATTTTACAGTTATTCTCCTATGACAGTGATTGTAAAAAAATTAAATCAATTTAATTTCGACAAAACACAATAGGTAAAACACTTTAAAAATTATTCAATAAGGCATATAAAAAATACCAGCCACATTTTGATTGAACTTTTATAGCCAGATTTCCTGATTTTACATTTTTTTGATAAAAATATTTTGTAGTCGTAAGAAAAATATTGTACATCACTTGTGTAAAAGTGACTGTCGCATTTATGGCTTATGCCTCGTGCGGCAATATTTTCCACTCGTGTGCAAAATGTCACTTTCCATACTCGTAATGTAATTTACTATTATACTTACCTAGATAACTTACTGGCCTTACTGCGGTACTATACAAACAAACTTATAATTTTGCGTTATGACAACTGCGTTAGTTTGATAAATCTTTAATTCTGTTAAAGTTTAGTTCATTCAGAACCATATCTTAGGCTTTGCATTTTCTTTCCAATAATACTCTTGTATATGTTTTTTAAGGACCTGCTGATAAATTTTACACGAGATATTTTTTCTTTAGTGTTAATCCAAACCGTCATGCATTTGTTAAAAATCAATATTTTTATGAAAATACATATTAGCAAAAATAAAAAGAATGCAAAAGATGGGAAGCAGGTAAAAACGAACACAAACATATAAAATAAAAAAATAAACTAAATTTCAGACTATTATTAATGTAAAAAATATACAAAATAAAAATGGCAACAACAAAACACAAAAACAAACGCTATCACTTACTACGCTTTTGTTTTTGTTTATAGTTTCTGACAACTCTCTCACTGAGAGATTTCTGCAATTTGAAAAAAAAAATAAAGATAGTTTAGCAGACTATTAAACAAGTTATGTATCAATGGCTGTACATATAAAAACAAACAAATCTCAAGAATAAAATCTGCAATAATATCTTTGGCACCTATATTTAATTTTATTTTATTTACATTTTTTTTAACTAATACTAGGAAAAATGCACTCGTCTACCATTTTGCTACGCTGCCAATTATTGATAAAAAAAAGATTATATCACAATTAGAACTGCCAATTTATAAATTTCAATTATACACCAAAAAATGATGAAAAATGCAGCTTTCCAGTAAATAAGCTTTAAATGACAATACAAATTGTTAATTTAAAGACACTATGAAAGTCTGATCCAATCAAAACATGCAATTGAAAATAAGTAACTTGTATATATAATTTTTAAAATCACCTTTTGTATCATCATTTAACCTCGACTATATCAATCGGTTACAAGAACATTCATTAAAGTTTATTGGTCTGATAAACTTTGACAGAACTTGTCGATATGATCTGTATGAGTGACACGAACTTCAAATTATTCACAGTGTAAACATCTACCAGGCACATAAATTTTAATGATTGGCTGTATGACTTGCACCTGAATATATTAGTATTTGCTCGTCCTACCACCAAATAACACTATCATAAGGTACAAAATGACTTTCATCCATCAACGTATCAACTATGTAAACTACCACCTCAAAACCATTTTATTTACTCATTCTTTTATACCTTGAAAACTTCGAAGAACTTCCTGTGATATTGTCGATATCGTCGAGTCCTCTGTGTATTGAGATTGAATCCAGACTATCACTATTTTTAATAGCCAAATATTCAGCCGTTTCCAATTTTTGCCTAGTTGGTTTCTTCCATAATTTAAGCAAAAGGCTCGAACCCACCACGGACACGGAACTGAGAGCCATTGCTGCGCTGGCCATCCAAGGTGCAAGCATAAAACCTATCATACTGAAGGCTCCCGCGGCGAGAGGTATACCTATAGAAAATAAGCAAATTAATCAACTACTGAAAACGAAATATGTATAAAGCAGTCGAATTAAATAAAAACCAAGAAATGTATGTGATCTTAAAAAATCCAAAAATAAGCATAGGGCTCTAATCGTTAGGGACACATTGTAGGTATAAAAGGTGTACGTAATTTGTGTTCAACTGATCCTTAACTTTAACAAAAACATTCTGTTTTTGAATTTTAAATCTACGTTTTTAGTTTTTTTTATATTATTTCCAGGTCGTGAAAAGTGGTTTAACGAGTGGTACACCAATGTGTTAGAAGAGGTTGCAGAAGAAATTTCTAAGCACTATGCTTTTAGTCTGGGTTATATAGGTAGAGCGACATCAACTATCAATCAATTAATACTATTTGTAACTTATAGTGGATTCGACTCAAATGCTCTTGCTCGATGACAAAGTGATTTTAGTTCTGAATTGATTTTGGGCAGCATTTATATAATTCAAATTTATATCTAGCAGTGCACACAGCAAGCAAGAGCTAGAGTTCGACATTGGTGTAGCGCGTCTCTATCGTTATTCGACTGGTACAGTTAGCACTTGACATTTCAGATATCTAACAAATTTTTAACGATATTTATTTATAGTTGCCAAACCAAAAATTATGTCGCATCGGCTGCCGGATTAGAAAGGAGACAGCTGCTAATTTGAGTGGGAATGTTTTGTGCGAGTATGTTTATTTGAGGAGCTAGCATGTTTTTTATGAATGCATCTGTATTTACGTCTACTACGCTTGCTTTACACTGCTGTCACACTTCAAAATTAATTACGTACTTTCCTGAAAAAACAATAGAACTTAATTACAACAAGAAAAATACATTACACTGATAATACCTGAAATTAGAGCTTTATAGAGGGTGTCTCATTAAGAATGGGACACAGAACAACTGAAGATTCTCTGAATAAAAATAAGAAGATTAAACGAAACATGCTTAGATAAACTATTTCTGGTTTCCGAAATACAGGGTGTTAAAGTTGAAAATTCAAAAATAATTAATGGCTATAATTTTTTTAATTCTCAGTATAATTTTACTAAAAAATAAACTTACCAGTGGTGTACGACACAGATAATTAACATTTTCATCCCCTCTAAAATTTACGCCACTTTCCAAAAACTTATTTGGACTATACTTTTACATTTTTTGATGAGTTAAAAATAGCAATATTTGTGGATGACACTGCAATATTGGCAGAAATAATGGAGACCTCAGAAAAACTCCAGAAAATTGCAACAGAATCAATCGATGGTCATTCGGAAACGATTATCTTTATAGAGACTTGAAGAGGCAAACAGTCAAAAGAAATAAAGAGATTTGCTGCGAAACATGAGGGTCGACTTCACTTCCACGTCAATGAAGAAGCACTACAATTACTGAACAACTCAGCAGAAGGCTCAAAATGAAGCTATACCAGGGAGATTGGTACAACTGGATGACGTTGACCAAGAACAAATGACAGAAGAAACTAGAAAATTTTGACGCAATATAGTGTTGTATAATCAGTGATGTCAATAACGTCATAATTCAAGAATGGTAAATATAAAAATGTTGTTTGCATCTAGATTAGAAAATATCCTATCGCATTTACACAGTAAACGTTCAAGTTTACCCACATGGCTCTATCAGTATCTGACTTACCTAAAAGATTATATACGCTGGCAAAGAAAAAATTAAGTCTTATTCTATTAACAGTTTTTCTGGACAATTCCAGACAAGCCACCACGTCTAAGAGATCATTTCTCATAAGTACAACATGAGCAGCCTCAACGGCGACGTCAGTCCCAGCTGCGATAGCCATTCCAACATCAGCTTGTGCTAGGGCGGGAGAATCGTTGATTCCATCACCCACCATGCATACTTTGATGCCTTTGGCTTGCAATCTGAAAATACAACATATTTTTGCAATAAATTACAGTCTTAGTAATAACTTAAGTAGCACAATATACTCTACCTCTGTACTCGGATGACTTTGTGGGAAGGAAGCACCTCTGCATAAATTTTGGTAATCCCTACTTGTCTGGCGATACTAGCTGCAGTCTTTCTATTATCGCCTGTCAAAAGAATAACTTCTAGGCCCATTTTTCTTAAAGTATAAACAGCTAGATGAGCCTCAGGTTTTACTATATCAGCAACGCTGAGCATAGCGACAATACTTCCTAAAAATAAACACGATTTTATTTAGTAATTATCATTATTAAGAGTCCGTTCCTTACCATTAATAGCGCAAAGTACAGCTGATCTACCCTGTTCTTCTTCGGTAACCATGTTTCTGTCAATCTCAGGAGCAATTATGAACCCGTTACGGTTCATCCACTCCCTATTTCCTACGATAACCTCATACAAGCCACTTTCATTTTCCAAGGACGAACTGACTCCTATCAACTGACCCAACTTAATATTTTGCGAATGGCTGACTTCTATTTGTACGTTTTTGACAGTAAATAGTCCCGAACTACCAGCTTGAACCAAGTTAATGAAGTTTGTGAGTTCTGTGCTGTTTTGGGATGCATTAATAACTTCTGAAAGGTTCGATATTGTGCATTTCATACCACAACCAGGTACGGTCTGTAAAAGGAGTATAAAAAATTAAATTGAATGTTCAAAATCAAATGAAACGTACATAAGGTAACAAGGTAATTGCCGTTAGTAACGCTAACAGTAAAAACTAAATATATACTGTATTTAAAAACTGCAGAATAGCAATATTCGGTAAAACTTTTAATTGGTAAAAGAGTTATCAAATTTACCTGAAAATTTGTTGATTTTCCTACTAATTCAGTTCCCAAAGCAGAGCGGACATATTTTATAATGGCTGCTGCGATAGGATGTTCAGAGTTGGATTCTGCAGAACCAACAGCTGCTAAAATGACAGCTGGACTGAGACTGTCGCCTTGGAGCCATATTTTTGCGACTTCCAACGTTCCTTTCGTGATGGTACCTGTCTTGTCGAACATTATAGCTTTGACTTTGTGTGCGCTCTCCAGTGGTTCGGCACCTTTGATGAGGATACCATTTAAGGCTCCAACGCCTGTGAAAAAGAATATTAATATAGAACATATACAAAAATATTTTTAAAGGAAGCTGATGACACTAAAAATTCGCTACAATAACTTCATCCTCTTTATTTTCTGTTCAATTAAGAAGTCTAATAAAGAAACATTCAGGATAGCTATTCTTGAATTCGAGGGACTAAAAACCGGTTTTTCCATTTTATCTGCAAAGTACTAAATTTGTATTTGTCTAATCCTTCACTCAAAATTTCAACTCCCTAAGATTTAATCATAGATAACTTGAGATTAAGCAAAATATAAAGGCAAAAGGATATTTTAAAAATGGAAAACATCATGTTATATGGGACATTTTTGGTACGGTAGGGTACGGTCCGTTATTAACTGAAATATCGGTTACTTGGTCCAAAACTAACCACTCTGAAAAATCGGTTAAATTAGGGAAGCGGTTACCTGAAAATGATTAATCAAACGTTAATTCACTAACCGATATATTTTTATGGTTAACATTAAGTTGAATGTCAATCTGTCACAAAAGTGACGCAATTCTCAGCCGTGATCCAAAAGTAACTAACAAATTAGTATTTTTTTTCATGAACCGCTGTCAAAAAATCCTGGTTAATTACGGTCAGTAATCGGTTAATATCGGATCATACCCTAGGTGTTTAAAAAATAATCAGGATGAATATAGCATTGCTTACCTGTTCCCACCATCACAGCTGTAGGCGTGGCCAATCCGAGAGCACAAGGACAAGCAATCGCCAATACACTCAGAGCGCATCTGAATACAAATTGTAAAATAATCTCAGTGTTGTTAAACCCTATTTTCTCTGATTCGCGCAGAGGCAAATTATTGATATCCATAAAACCGACAATAGACCAAATGATTAAAGTGATAAGGGACAAAAGAACTACTGTCGGTACGAAATAACCAGCGATTTTGTCGGCTAGTTGTTGAATGGGGGCTTTAGAAGTTTGAGCCTCTTCTACCAGCTTGACGATTTGTGATAATGTTGTGGCTTCGCCTGTATGCGTTGCTTCTACTATTAGCAAACCGTGTTGGTTGATCGAGCCACCTATTACGGTGTTTCCAATTTTTTTAGGTACTGGCATGCTTTCGCCCGTTATAAGGCTTTCGTCACACATCGATTGACCCTGAAAATTAAAATATATCACTCACTATTTATAGATTGACCTGTTAATTAAAAAATCGATGACAACTGGCTTTTAACCGTACCTGTACAACCTTACCATCGACAGGTACTTTGGCACCAGGTACTATTTTAAGTATATCCCCTCTTTGAACCAAATCGACGTTAACTTGTTCTTCTGACGCAATTTCACCGTTTTTACCCAAAGTTATGATCACAGCATCCGTAGCTTTTAGAGACAGTAATCTTAAATAAAAATTAGACATAAATAATCAAAGTATTGAACAAAAACAGACTATTAAATAGCACACAAAAACAAGCACTTATGAGCTATAAAATGCTACAACTACATACATTAGATACAGAACTGTAACATACAAAGGTAATTAAGAATTATCAAGAAATAGATAATCCAATCGTATGGAGGTTGAATTGAAACACTGGTATAAAAATAATTACGGAGTACCAAAAAGCCAGGGTTGAAAAAAAGGAGTGTATGTGAGAAGGAAGCCAACTGGTTCAAATTCAGAAACCAGGAAAGAGCTAGAATTAAAGGCACAAAACATTGGATATTAGTCTAAGATCCGAAATAAGGTCGACCTTCACCCATCTGTTTACCGGATGAAAGTTTTTTTTTTATTAAATAAAATATGTTTTTAAATATACCGCAAATGGGTTGCCTAAGAAAATTCGGTCCACACTATTTATTTTCTTAAAGTAAAAAAAACGACACCCTATAAAGTATTCCCAAAATGCTTTGACTGTGCCCAAACTTTAATCAGCTCATCGCAGGATAGATTAAAGCTTAAGTTCAAAATTTGGTGTTTTTCTCTTCATCCGTTTTTGAGTTATCTTCAAAATTCGAAATTTGCACTTTTCATCGAGTATCTCAAATTAGGTCCATTTTAGGAAAATCATGTATAGAGACAAAATAATAAAGAATGACATCATAAACAACTTTTATCATGATTCCTATACTTTCCTTATCTGTACACAGAGAGGAAAGTAAAAAATAGCGGTAACCGTATTTTCTTAGGCGGTATATTTAAAAACATATTTTATTTAATAAAAAAAAAACTTTCATCCGGTAAACAGATGGGTGAAGGTCAACCTTACCTTACCTTACAAAGTGAGAAGGGTAATTGCGATGTATCACTACGTGAAAGATAATAAAATTGGCGAGGGATCTGAACCCCAGACCTTTCTAAGAGGAACTTAATGCTCAAACATCTTATACATTTTTGACGACTTAATATTTATAATTTAATTGTTTTTAGATAGCTTTATTACAATTTACTAAAATTTACGGTTTCTTTTTTGTAAATATAAATGAATATTAAATTGGTATTATTTATCGATTCGTGAGAAGAATTGCTCATTCTTAATTATATTTTATCTCGCTAACAACTGTACTGACAATTAGATTGACATAATTTTCAATAATTTAATATTTAAAAAAGAACAGTGAGCTGTGAATGGTGGATTTCATATCTTAATAATATACATATATTGGATACGAAATGATATCCATACAGTAGACTGATATCGCCTAGGTACTTTGTTCTGTAGTTTGTGCACAAACTGGATACTAAACATGTGAGTCAAAACGTGTGTGTAGATAAAAATGTTATATATTCATGCTGCGAATGAGAAAAGGCAACATAATAAAAAACTTTTTTTATTTTCTTTTAGATGTTCAGATTTCTAGTTATTAATTTTTTTCTACGCTGGTTTATTATTAGAAGTAAATTAAACCACGTTTCACCGTTCTTATTTTATTAGTTTTATCATGAGTACATTTGTCAGGTCCTAAAAATATTGTAAATTATACCCCTTACCTAAATACCTGTTTCTACAGTGCTTTCTTATGTGAATCTGTCCCTGTTCCAAATAAAAATGTCTGTACATTTAATTGTCGTGGCATAATTATTTAAATAATTTAGTTAACATGTAGACCAATAATATGGGCATTGCTAGAGCGGCTATATTTATACTTTATTTAATAAATCAAGTCGATAGCTTTAATAGTTTTCAAAATATAATGAAGTAAAAGCAAAAAATAATTTCAAAAATAGACAATTTTTTATGTTTTTTGTCATAATTTTTGTTTTAATCTATTTCGTGAATTATACCTGTATAATACGACAATAAATCCTACGGGATCTAACGGCGTAACTTTGCTCAAAATTCTAAAGAATCATCCAGACCGTCACTCGTCCCTATCTCAGGTCGTTAAGTGATTGTCAAAGCATTATTATTGCTATCGGAGCCTATCTACAAACTGTAGCTGGAAAAAATTCGTGTGAATATGACGATGCAGTACTGTTTACTCTTGATAGAGATTTAACAAACGTTTAAGCAAGAAATCAAAATAGATTCTGAAAACTTTAAACTCCAACCATCATAACCTCTCCACAAACTCTAATTATACTTAACCATTGATAAAACAATCTGAGGATAAGTCATTTATAACTATTTTCGATATACAAAAATTGGGATCGGTATACATCTAGGCATTACGCACTTTATAAAGTTTTTAACACTCAAAAATCGTTCAAACACAAATAAAAATTAAATTTAATTACAAAAAGACACTACAAAAAAAACTTATAAAATTGACAAATTGCATTCACAATAGTGGGGGTTCGATCCCACTTTGTGCTTACAAATCGTATCCTCAGGTTGCCAGATCAATGTACTAACACTTCTTTGGGCGACACTCACAAATTTGACCATCAAGACTTGTTTATTTCTTACCTACTTAACGCTTCCGAGGTCTTCCCTTTGGCAATATGCTCCAACCATCTACCTAAACTTATGAAAACCAACAACATAGGAGGCGTATCGAAAAACGTTTGAGGCGAGGTGTTTTGTTGCATAACCATGGCAGCAATAACGACGCAAACACTGTAAGTGTAAGATATTGACGTCGCCATGGCTATAAGTACATCCATATTCGTGGTTCTATGACTTAAGGCTTTGTAGGCTTGAACGAAAAAGTGCCTGCCACCAAATATTAGGACCGGTGTAGATAGAGACCACAGAATTAAGTTTTCTATTGACAGGCCTAAAAAAAGTATTTTTTAAAAGAAATAAGTAAAAAGAGGTTTCAAATTGATTATATATACCTGGTACCACACAGCACATCTCTTCATGCGACATGGTAGACATCTGAACCATAAAGTACATCATGGCTATCATACAAGGACCTCCAAAAGCTAGAGAAAATATAAAACTTCTTTTCCATTTTCTAATTTCTTCTTTATGATGTAAATAATCATCGCTGCCACCTTCTCTACTAAACAGTTGTGCTTCAAATCCAAGTTTCTTTATAGCATCGATAATGTACCTAAAAGAAAATTGTATTATTTCAGTAAGTAAAAACTGGTCCATCATGGGAAAACCTAATTCGAGAAGAGAATAAAATCAAACTCACAACCCTAAAAGAAGTAGACACCGGAAAATATTAACCAGAAAAAAGCACCAGGATTTGAGTTAATTACAGGGAAGATACTAAAACTAATTCCTAGGAAAGCTATAGATAAACTGACATATCTTATTAATGTCCTCTTCAGATTGAAGTATGTACCTAAGATATGGAAAGTGCCCGAAATAATAATGATACCTAAACCAGGCAAACCACCAAATGAAGTTTCAACTATTTTAAAAAATATTCCTGAAGAGATTAGAACCCATCATAAAAGAAAAAAATAATTCCGACACATCAGTTTGGCTTTAGAAACATTCAACCAAGTCCAACAAACATCATTGAAACATCACTAGAAGAAAGAAAAGTTTACTCTACTATCTTCTTAGACGTAGCGCAAGCTTTCCTCAGAGTATGGCACGAGGGACTGGCCCAGACAATACATACAATTATTGAAATCATACATTACAGATAGAACATTTAGAATAAAGTAGGAAGAAGTTTACTCGAAATAAAAAGAGATTAAAGGAGTATCATAAGGAAGTATATTGGAATCTGTTATGTATCTGCCCGAGTTTCGAAAAAAAAATGCATTTTCTAAAAGTTATTTTCGTGTTCCCTCGAGTCGGAAAAAATAATTTAGGTACCGCTGGATACTTTATTTTTTTTTAACATTATTTTTGAAGTTATTGTGTCGTATATGGGATATGTAGCCATTTAGATTAGTAATAATGGCATATTCCTAAGCCTTTTAGTAAATACAAGTTGAGATATGTAAATTTGTCTAATGTTTTTTAATGTTCTGGGTGAGATTTTGCTATTTTGCTTAGTTCATGTAATGCGGAATTTTTCAAGCTAGCTGATACGTTAAAGAATAGTCTTTTCTGATATACCGCTTTTTGGCTTAGGAAGGCTGTATTCATCCATGATATTATAAAAAAGAAGGTATGATATTACGCAGATTGACGCTATACGTCACGGTGACGTATTATGGTGGAAGACGTGACTTTTACGAATTAGAGGTACCAGATGATCGATAACAGTGCGCGAAAATAAATTTTAATCTGCTCATGGCCAATTAGATGATCATATTCGACACCACAATAATACGTCATGCGCGAACTTTATGAGATTTCATCCGCTAAATATCATACCTCTGTGATTTTTTGTATCATGGTATACATCAGTGATATTTTGAGACTAGAAAATATTACAATAGACACCTTTGCAGATGACATTGCTATCTTGGCAGTAGGAGAAAATCAATTAGAAAATTGCAGAACTACCTTAATAAAATGTGTACATATACATCTTGCAAATACAAGAAAACACCATGTTCCAGTTAGAATAAATAATGCCCAAATACCCTACATGGATACAGCAAAATATTTAGATATTACTTTGGATGTAAAACTGTGCTGGATAGCCCACGTAAGAAAAAAAAGAAGAACTATTAATAAGATACAAGAAAATGTATTGGCTGAGCGGAGGGAATTCTGACTTGTCCAATTACAATAAATAACTCCTGTATAAACAGATACTCAAACCAGTGTGGACATAATATATGACATTCAGCTGTGGGGATGTGCCAGCAAGACTGACATTGAAATAATACAGCACTTCCAGAATATAGTTAATGCCCTTTTGTACATTAGAAACAGTAATCTTCACAGAGACCTGGAGATGGACACCATTAACCAGACAGACCATCGATAATTTAAGGAGAAAACCCTTTGAGTTAGCGAAATAGTGTAAAGCAGAGTAAAGTGTGGCAGATACACACCTTAATTTTAGTGTAAATAAGTTATTAAGAGTTTTAAAGATTATTGTTGAATAAGACATTAGTTTTTTATTTTGCTATGTAGTATTTTCTAATTAAAAAAACACGTCATCTTACCTTGGTCCTGTAATTTCCGGATCATATTTGAACTTCCCGCGCCGAGTTGTCAAAGCAACCTGCGCCGTCTTGACTCCAGGCACCTTCATAATGTTCGTTTCTATTTTGTGGACGCAGCTCGAGCACGTCATACCGATAATTTCGACGTCAGCTTCAGATTCGATGATGCCCGACTGTTGAATCACGGTTGTGGGGAATCCCAGATCGGTCACTGATTCCGCTATGTCTACTGGCGTTGTCATCGATGGGTCGAATTGGATTTCCGCCCGCGCCCCCAGTAGGGAAACCAAAATTTTGTAACAGCCTACAAAAAAAAATACTCAGCGATTTAATACCATAAACTAAATTATAGAAGAGCTAAGCTAATAAGCACCAAAATTCTAAAAGTGTATTAAGCAGGAAACAGGAATTAATGAAGAAGAGATATTCGATTTACAAAGAAAAATATAGAAAAGTAAGACAGGAAAAGGCGGAATAAGATGGAAACAAATTAAATTCTCTCAAATGAATCATATCCTTAAATGATACTATCTAAGAATAGCGCTAAACAATATGAAATATAAAAACTGACGGAATTTATGATATATTTTATAATGTCTTTACTATCTTGATGATGCTTACCTGGTAACTTTTGAACGTGTTTTTCAATAGCTGCCACACAGGAGCCGCATGTCATGCCTTTTACTTGCAAATAACATTTTTGTACATTTATAGAAGTATCTTCTTCCGCATCACTGTTTATCGACGGAGCATCAGTGGGACTATGTCTAACTTGTTTTTGTAAAACGTTTTTTCCGTTTATTATCTTAACGTACGCTTCGAAACCCATGTCTTCTATTTGCTCCGCTATCTGTTCTGGCGTTATCTTGATTGGTATGAATTCTACGTAGCCCTCCTGGTTTTTAAGATGTACTTTTATCTTTGAAATGCCTTCTTTGGTCGATAACATCCCCTCTATGCTTTGGACGCACGAATTACATGTCATACCTTTGATATCTATATAACAGGAGCTTCTTTCAGTTTTTGTAAGTAGCGGTAACGATGCTTCAAAACCCATGTCATCTATATAGTCGCATATTCCTTGAGGGTTTATAATTTTTGGATCATAATGTACCATGCCGTATTTTTCTTGTAAATTTACCTAAAAAACCAGAAAGGTTGAGTAATTGAAAAATGCGCATACGTTAGTAGATTGGGGACAATCGAGGTGGCCAAATAGCCTACAATTTATGGGTGTCAGACTCTTTATAACCAAGATATAGGGTAATTTATCAATTTTGCTCATTTCTTCAATTATTCATAACGAACCACACTATATATTTTTATTCTTTGTCCAGTATGGTGCCGAATAGCGTATAAATAAAAGCTGAAATCCTGATCTGGACTTAAAAAAAATCAACAAAGAACCCTTCATTTTTCTTAAGAAATTGGTACTAGGTTAAATTTTCCAAATTTTTGATATGTTGTAGTACTCTTTACAAATATGTGTCAATTTAACTTGTTGCCAAATGATGTGGTGTATTTTACTCATGGTAATGATTTGCAGATTACCAATTCGGAGTATCATGTTTTACAAAATTCGGTAGGTACACTATATTTCATATAGTATTGAATTGAAGTCTGATAAACGTGTAAAAGGGTTAAAATATGAGGTAGTTACATTATCATCTCAAAAATGGTGACTTTATTTAATTGAACAATTATTATTTTGGTGGCATTGTATGATTGGAATGCATATAGTGGTTAAAATTTCAAAATTCTTGGCCATAATTCAAAAATCGTTGCCGCTGATTTTTTTCTTTTCTTTAAAACGGGTACAAATGAAAATTTAGCCTAGTATCTATTATAGTGACAATCATATTTTTTGTTGGTTTAAGGTATGGGGGAGATTGGGGCACATTATATATTAAATTTAGGTACCCATTCAAAAAAAATTTATTTATAATTTTTATAAAAAAAATTTTCTCTGGTTCTTTAAGTAACTTTTTACCACTTCAGTTAATTTTTATATTTTTTGTTAATCCCTTTAAAAACCAATGTTTTTCAGACTTACAAGTTTTCCAAACCGTAAAAATCAATAAAAATCTCGAATTTGTAATTTTGAGCTATATCAATAAATATAAACATATAGATAATCATTTTGTGTTATTGAAGAATAGTAACAAGGGGTCGTTATACGTTATTCGCAAGTATTCGCAGAATTTATTTATTTGTCATATTGCAGGACAATCCATTATACAGGGTCCGGCAGTGAAAAGGAAAGATTTGAGGTATGGTTTGCAGCGAGCCGCGAGGTAGTGGGAAAGAAAGTAGCTGACTTGCCAAGACCTGCATGATTTACCATTTAGTTTACATCGCGGTTACACAGTCAAAGCCTATTTTCAAAATAGTGAGAGTTTAGTGCAAACGCGTCGTGACTTTCAACGGCATTTTAACATACCGCGCAACTAACCTATTCCATCAGATAAAGCGATAAAGAAATGGGTAAACAACTTGGAACAAACAGGATCGACGTCTAAAAAAGGGGTGGTAGTGACAAAATAGTTCGAACCCCTGAAAATATCGAACGTGTTCGACAAGCTATGTTAAGAAGTCCACGCCGATCGGCGATCCGTCACGCCACACGTCTTGGAATAAGTGACAGATCGATAAGAAGGATTCTCCATAAGGATCTTGGATATCTCCCTTACAAAATACAGGTTGTGCAATCACTTTACCCGGGTGATTATCCACAGGTATCCGTTTTTGTGAAATTATGCTTGCCAGACTGAAGGAAAATGACAACCAAATTAACAATTTGTGGATGAGTGATGAGGCACACTTTCATCTCCCTGGTTTTGTTAATAAACAAAATTTTAGATACTGGGCGGAGGAAAACCTTCGTTTACTTCATGAACCACCTCTTCATGCTCAGAAAGTGACAGTATGGTGTGCGATTTCGGCAAATGAAATCATCGGTCCATATTTTTTTTTGAGAATGAGGCTGAAAATGCCGTTACCGATAATTTTGTATGATACGTGGCAATGATTCAAAATTTTCTTACACCTCAACTTGAAGGCTTTCCAGTAGATGAACACACACTTTTTCAACAAGACGGGGCAACAAGTCACACTGCAAGAATTTCAATTAATGCTGTAAATGCTTTGTTTCTAGGGCGTATCGTTTCTCGAAACGGGGATATCAGTTAGCCCCCTCGGTTTCCCGACCTAACCGCCTACGACTTCTGTTTTTGGGGATACCTAAAGACAAATGTGTTTGCAAATGATCCACCCAGGACAATCCCAGCTCTTAAACAACGGATTCGTGACGAGATTGCAGCAATACCTGTTGATATGCTGCGCAGAGTTATGCAAAACTTTCAGGCACGACTCCAAGAATGCATAAATTGTAACGGAGGACATTTGGCGGATGTAGTGTTTAAAAAATAATTTTTTTGATGTTGTAAACCAAATGGCTACTTTCTCATTTTCCATTAATGTATTAAAAATTATTTAAAAAAATATTCTTAAACATTTTCGAAATCTTTACGTTTCACTGCCGGACCCTGTATAAGTTAATTACAATAATATGACGGAAATCATAATCATTGGTCTACACAAAATAAATAAATAAATGTGGAACAAACAGAAAATGTGATAGCTAATTTGTTAAACTTAGTTCATAATTAACAAGTAGTCATAAATGTTAATATACATTTAAAAAACCTTGCTCATACCTATAGTTACAAAATCCATACTGTTAAAATAAATGAATATCTGCTAAAATAATAATTAATAATAAAAAAATGGGTTCGATGAGATCAATAAATTTTTACTGCTGAAATTAATTAACATTAAATATTTTCCTTTACGAATGGATGTTTTCATTATACCATCAGATAATGACGAGCCGATTGCCATATTCCCCAGACCATCCTTTTTCTCACTCCTATATAGAGATAGCATGATTTTGATGTTAGTTTCAAAACAAAATACAATTTTATGAATGAGTAGTTGGGAATGTGGGTAAATGGATTGATAATTATACAATACAATTCCGGAACACATAAAAATCATTGATAGTATATACTTGTTCAAAACAGAGCTAAAAGATTTTATTTTCAAAGGCGAGCGTCACATTATTGATGATTACTTCTAATACTATAGCAACATATACTTAAGTTTAGGCAAATTAAAAATAAGTTATCTGTATATCATAGTTAGAAATGTATTAGTACCTATTGTGTGATTTTATTATTATTATTATTATTAGTATTAATTATTATTAGATTTTACTCTTCTGTAACCTTTTATTTACTTTTGGCCAAAACAAGTGTCTATACACTTATTGGAATCCAAAGCTTTATTCTTGACATTACTGTGATGTATCTATAGTTATTTTATCTATTGCATTTATTGTATAAAATTAACTGTATTATTATTATTATTATTATTATTATTATTATTATACACGGGATATATTCCTTTTAATACCCTGAACCTTCAATTCAATATGTGCACGTTCAACTTAAGGATTTTTTTTAACATGGACCCTAATTTGATGACAGTAACTCTCATTTTAAAAACCTCAATGTAAGCTTTTACTTGATAATTGAATTTAAATACTTTTTTTTTCCTGGGCTCGTCTGACTATGTGTCTCCCGAATAACACTGAAGCCTATTGGCTTATTGTGTTTTACCCCATGTTAGTTCATAGCACCCATTCTATCACCTTTGTACCTTGTAATTTAAATACTTACATTTATGCTAAGTATACCGGGTTTCTTTCCAACAGTTTCTTCGATATTTCTTACACACGACATACATGTCATGCCGACGATGTTGACTCTAAGCGCGCCCTCATCATCAGACTCTGGCTCGGCGACGGTGGTTGAAAAATCACCCGCTGAAGGAGAATAGGTCGTTACTAGTTCATTTTCGGTTTTGTGACTTAGCAGAGGCTCAAAGCCTAGCGTGTCCGAAGTATTCCTGTAAAAAAGAAATACATGATAAAACACTTGTTAAATTTATTCATTTCTAAATTACAATGAAATGTGGTATCAATGATCATAAATAGTATATTCAAAAAGATATACCAACTATAATAATTAGAATGACCTGTGAGCAGTTTAGTACTTCACAATGATGTTGAATGACTGAAATACAAGCTGATGGTATAGACTTGCTACTAAAACATTAAGAAACAATCATGGACTGTCAGGATTCTGGACTGTCAGGATTCTGTTCTGTAGATTTTTAAGTACAAAGGTTTTATTCTGATTTCAATCCAATATCATGTGGAACAGTTGAACACCAAATTATTCATCTGGTACAACTTTTAAACTTATGTATACACTTATTAACTAGTCCTTCGATAGTTTTCAACATATTATTGAAGAACCATAAAAAATCTGTTAATTTCGCATTATTAATACTTACGAACTTTAGTAACTTTCTTTGGATATTAATGATTATCAAAGATATAGATTTATATCCTAATACACTAAAGAAATTCTACTGCTATGTCGCTACTGAATTATCCAATGGTTTATTGTCTACAGCTGATCCTATGAGATTTTAAATTTATTTTACTGTTACCGAATGGTTTTATTTCAGCCCCACTGATCTTTTAGAAATCAAAGACTAATTCCCGACGGGTTCAAGTGGGGGCCCGGCAGCTTTGGTGAGGACGTTTTTTTATTTTTTTAAGTTCGACACAAGACCTTTTTTTTAGAAATTTCACTATAGAGGAGAAGTTTTTGCTTGAAGACCTTTTTTTTAGAAATGTGATATTGAAAGGGCATAATTTTTTTATAAAATTGTCTCGGGGCCCGACCTGGAAAATTGTCCCGGGGCCCCGACCTGGCTCTCGGCGGCCCTAAGTGTTTGTGCTGAAGCTACAAACTTATCTTTTACATTAAACATCTTTAGCAGTTGTTTAAAATTTGCCAATGTAATACCTATCGTAATCAGTGCTCTAATTACAGGCCCATATCTTTGATTCCAATCCTGGTCAAAATTGTAGAAAACACGTATTTTAAAACGGCATCTATTTCTTCCTCCAAATCAATTTGGTTTTCAGTCATCTAAAAATACTACAAATATAGTAAGTAAATACTACAAATATAGTATTTTTACATTTTTGGAGTTAAATGAGGAATGTATAGCGGTAGCAATATTCCGTGATTTATATAACGCTTTCGATTGCGTAAATTACGGAGTACTATTAATCAAGTCATTTCAAAAAACCTACTCCTAAATCGTGCAGATGTCTTTGCAAAATGAAGAGTTTGATAATTTTCTCATGGATCCCATTATCAGATCTTGACCAAATTTATATGGTAGCATAACATAAATTTAAAAAAAATGTTCCGACGAATTGGGAACCTCCTCATTTTTTGAAGTCGGTCAATAAACTAAAAAGATATGAATTTGAGGACATTGCATTGAAATGGTTTACGTCATATTTATCCGATAGATGTCAAAATGTATTACTGAATGGTAAAGACTCGTCTAGTCTTTATATTTCAGATGGCGTACCACAGGGTTCTGTCCTTGATCCTGTTTCGTTTTTAATCTGTCAATGATATAAATTATATAGACATATTACACTCTTTGCGGATGACACGACCATATTATGGTACAGTAAATCCAATGATGTATTATCGGATATGTCTTTGATAGAAGAGTGGTGTGACCTGAATTCTTTATTATTAAATATTTAAATAAGTATAACATTCAGACTGTAAATAATAATCAATCTTAAAAATTCCAAAATCATATCAATAATTTTTTATAATTCATATTTACTTAGTATCTGATATAAGAAAATATTTATACTACATATTTTCTGTATTTTGTAGTTTTAAATATGTACCTACGTATATGTTTTGAATTTTGCAATTTGAATTTGAAAAGCAGAGTTAATTTGTGTAATGTGGAAACACTTAAAAATCCACACGAAGTGTATGAATTTTTCTTTATTTTTACATGAACTTGTCGAACAGCAACCGAATGTACGATAGTATGTACAATCAGGTTTATATTTAAAAAAATGTCTCGCACGCTCTCGTATTCTCTAAACAAAACGTTTGTGTGTTTCGGTAAAACAAACATATCGACCTTTTCCATTATGCAGGAGACCATGCATATTTTTCTTATACACGTTCAGCAAAAAAAAAGGAAAAAAATAACACCTAAGTCCATTGCTTCGGCCGCACGTGTATTGGAACCATGGCTGATTTTTCTTACATACAAACATGGGAACCCTCGTTAATGATAATGTAAAATATTCATCAAATGAAGAAAACAGTGTCTGTTCTTCGCTACAAAATGGCGCATCAAAATCAATGAAAAACAAAGGGCGTAGTCTGCAGTCGGCATAATTTTATAATAACCACGTATTTTAGTAGATGGAATTAAAAAGTTCATTATAAAAAAAACAAAGTTAAATTGGAAATAATATATACCAGTCATCATCCTGAGTAAGCAGAGGAGTTCTATCACCTCTATCGGCCATTTATGTACTCAAACAAATAAACTGATTAGATTTTTTTTTTCGATAAGGACCCCCGTTAAGGTTCACACTTTGCACCTATCACTCGAAACTACAAATATCTTACTGAGGGCGATATAACTAAATAACATGATGAAGCGAAATGACAAAACAGCATTTCCCCACTTTATCGGATTATAATAATAAAAAAGATTACGATGTATAAACATTAGAGCGAGATTAACCAAAACATATTTCGGTTTATCTCTAAAACATCGTCCAATAAATAATTCCTCTTTAATCTAAATTGGTTCTTATAATATAATACGTTTATTACCACTTGCATTTAAGTTGTACCGGAGAAGTCCGAATGTTTGCTAACACGAACCAGAATATATGGATAACAATCGACGAATGCTTTTTACATATTTTTTTAGGATACTAGTCTAGTCTGTTAAAGAATAATATTCTTTAACAGGCTAGGCTAGTAATATAATAATATATTTACCAAATAACAAAAGAACTCGACCTGAAAAAGTTAAACGAGCGATGGGTACCGACAATGTTAATGACATAAAAATAAATCTAAACTTTAAATGGAATACTTTCATACATCAGAAGAGTTTTTTGGTTGGTTTTATTATGGACCAATTCAAAAGTGGAAGTGAAATAGTACCAAAAATGAAATATTTTTTATTTAATTAAAGCTCTACAGAAAATTAACTTCAAATGACTTATACAGGTTATTTAAAAAAATAACAAAAATACTAATACCGTAGTCTATAAGTAAGACAACATAAATATACAATATGCATATAAACAAAACTTCTTTATAATATCGAAGGCGCGTCCACACCAATACGTGTTGTGCGTTGTATTTTGAATTCAAAGAAAATATGTGTGGCAAAAATTTGTATAATTTACCATATTTTTCGACGAAATGTTTTGTTTTATGTTTTGTATGATGTGAATCCACTTTCGTTGGATCAGGCATACAGAGATATATGCAGTATATGTACTGTCAATCACTCAGGTACAAAGATGAGCAACTACTAATAATGTTTACAAAAATCGAATTGCAAACATTCATGGTGTCATCCACGTAGTTGTCAAATTATTATGAGATAATATGGGAGAGTATTGTTACAAGGATTGTGTTTGGTTATAAATTCGGAATTAACTTAACATAAGGCTCCTTTGACAACCTATCTTGGCTGGGGAAACCATTATTTTTGTGGAGGAGGTGAAATATCTGGGGATCATCCAAGATAAGAAACTGACTTGGAACCCCCAATTGGATAAAACCATTAACAGAGTCAGACTATCCCTCTGGACCCTCAGAAGGATATCTGGCAACACTGCATGAACACCACGCTGGATCTAACCCCTCTCCACATTTTGCTGGAAAGGGAGGCCAGGGTGGTATCCTATAGACTCCTGAAGGTGGGTAGATAATGCAACGAAGAATTGCGATGGGACAAGACGGGGCTAATGAGTGAAATTAATAACCACCACGTCCTCGGCATGGTCTCGGACTCGCTAGTTCCCCGACAGCACATTGAAAAGCCATAAAGCGTCCTCATTCCAGAGAGACATATGGAGCAGGGGGGAAAAACCATTTTCCAGGCGGTCTATGTGTTGTACACGGACGGCTCCAAAACTGAAAAAGAAGTGGGAGCTCGAGCTTTCGGCCAGAGGCCCCTCAAACAAGACTATAAAGATCTTTTCGGATAGCCACGTAGCCCTCAATGCCCTGAGCTCCAATCGAGTTGACTCAAAGCTAGTTTGTAACTGTATAAATACCCTTGATTGTCTCGGTGCTGGAACAAAGTTATTTTGATCAGGGTTCCGGGACACAGCGGCAATGAAAAAGGCATCGCGCTTGTTAAAAGAGGAACCAAATCTGAGTTCATAGGACCAGAACCATTCCTGGGCATTGCAAAGAGCACTGCCAAAGAAATATCAAAATGGACGGAGGGTGCAACACTCACGAACTGGAGAGATACCTCTGGGCTAACTCATTCGAAGGCGTTTATAATTAATCCTATGAACGCCTCTGCTCAGATCCGAGAATGGAGTAGGAAAAATCTACGCATTTTCCCGGAAATGATGACAGGATACTGCCGTCTGGGCAACCACATGAGAAGGCTAGGTCTGCAACAAACATCGAGTCTGTAGCGTGGAAGTCGAATCTGCAGAGTACATTTTATGTACCTGCTCCGCTTTGGAAATAACCTGATATTCGGATTTACCGACTTTTAAACAAGTTCACTTAATTCAACCATGGCTTTCATCAAAAGGTGTGGCTTGTACGGTGAACTATAAGTTAGTCATAAGCCTAAATAGATCCATCTGGGTCGCAGTGGAAGGCGATGAGATCAATCCACTCATTTTATGCAATTTTCGATGGATTTTAATTAAATACTCCGTAATGCGCATGCGTTATATTGTCTCTAAACATCGCACAACTACCATTTGTTATTAGGACGGTAAGATTTTGTAGTGTTCTATTGGTGGGGAGTTCAGTGATATTACGCCAATTTGTTGTCCTGACTCTGCTGAATATAAAGTTAAATTCAGCTATGTCTTCTGAAAAATGGGTGTTGCTCTTTAATATATTGCTTATAAGTGTTAAATACTACGTCAACTAGAATTGACTTGGCTGATAACAAGAACATGTCTCTATATTTGATTATGTCAGTATTGAACACAGGAAAAACAGCTGGCTCCTCCCAAATCGAAAGGAAAATAAACGGAAAGAGAATTGTAGCATTTCTTCAAGAACAGATATATAGATTTATTAGAATCTAGTAGAAGTATTCTTTTTTGTAACATCGTTGACTGAAAATTGGTATGAGACTAAGTCGTCGATGAATGGTAGAATTAATTATAAACATATTTTACTTTAAATTATACATATTTATCTTGTATGATAAATTGTATAATATCGTAAACATTGCAGCATCTTCGGGTTTTTCCAATATGCTAGCAGAAGTAGAGGAAATAATAGGTCATCGTTCCTCTTAATACCTACGTTGTATTTTATTTAAATAGATAAATTATCGACAACACTAACTACAAAATTTTAAATAAAAAAAACAATTGGAATCCATACAATTTATAACTACTGATAAAATTTTCTAGATTCCAAGTTTATAGATTTTCTAATTAAAGAAAAATAAATCCAGAACAATGTCAGACAAACTTTTATTGTTTTTCTGTTAGTAGTGGAGAAGAGATCATTCCTTTCGAGTTGAAAAAAAAAAAAATATCCGAAACAGTGTCTACATCGTTAAAAACGTTTTGAATCGAGAAATTTCTGTTAAAAGGCAGATACAGACATTAAAAAGGTTTATATTCAATTTTAATATTAAATAGAAAAATAGCAATCTTCACTGATCGAAAAGGTCAATACCATTATTAAGTAAAATTAGCCTACGTGATAAATCACACGCAGGAACTTCTACGGCCAATTTACAATGCAAGCAAAAAAATGTCGACTTAACTCATTGATAAACAAATAAATATTATATACGAGGGCTATGAATATTTCCAACGTTTTTTCTTGGAATAAAATTTTCAAATAAAGAATATTTTTCTTTACTATTTAATTTATTTCAGTACTAAAGCTCTAGGCGTTTTGACCCCTATCAGTTTTTTATCCCAACAGGTTATTCGTTATGATCTTGAGTTATTTCCTTCTAAAGTTTAGCAATTGGTTTTGTTTGCTATTTGACCACACACCACTCCTCAGAATTCTTAAAGTGAATGACCTATCTAGTGATACCTCATTGGATAGGAATTCAGCTATGTCATTTTCAAGAATGATTTTTTATGACAGTTCTAAAAGATTTTTAGAGTGGTTTCTTTTTAAAAAATCACCCTGAAGATTGTATATTATCAATATCATTTCTATTAGATTTCAAACAACTCTTGCTTCCAATTATTGTATAAAATGTAAACACATCTTATAAATAACTAACTTGAAAAATTACCACAAATTTATTCAGACTTGTATTCTGATAATCTTAATAATAAAAAAAAATAAGATTATTAACAACTACGTTGCAGAATGATTCATTATTTAAATTATACAGTTTATTGAAATATATTAATTGATTTACATCGCAATGTTGAATTTTATTTTTTTATTAAAATTTATATTTCAAAATATAGTATATTACATTATGAGTGTGGAAAGTGACATTTTTTGCACGAGTGGGAAATATTGTCGCACGAGGCACAAGCCGAGTGCGACTATCACACGAGTGTGGAAAATCACTTTTCACACAAGTGATGTACAATATTTTTCCTACGACCACAAAATAATATCACCAAAAAATGTAAAACCAAGGTTATTATTACTATAATAATTAAAATGTATTTAAAAAAATAATCAACAATAATCGTATTTATTCAATTTTCATATTTTCTAAACAAAAAAAAAAACTAAAAAGAAATAAAAAAAAAACAAAAAATTGTGGCCCCGCCAGGATTTGAACGCGCTTGCTCGCGGCAAAGTTGATAAGTTCGACGTTCTAACCAACTGAGCTAATAGCCCTTGTGTCAATTGAATGATCTAATCGGTCATGTATTTATTTAACCAGAATAAAAAGCAAACATTTTAAAATTATTTGAATAATAATTGTTAAAGAAAAATATCTAGGATCTAATTTACAACAATTTCAATAATTTAACAATCATCGATTTTAGTATGAATATGAACATTACATAGATCAAAATAGAAATTATGTGTTTGACATTTTGTGACAGCTACTGCGGAAACTAACATATTCGTACACGGGTGGAAAGTAAATTCTTATTAATACGCGTGTGGACTATATAGTGTGATATGTGTCACTTTCCTAAGTGGTCGTAGGAAAAAGTAATTTTATTTATGACTATTAAATAAATCATCTGTTATTATATTATACAGCATAAAAGTGGCATATCAGTGATAATGGTTTACTTTATTGCTGAGAGAGTGCAAATAATTTCACTTGTTTTGCGAACAATGAATGTGCCAATAGAACTGCCTAACTGTTTAACAATCAACATCAAAATCGACAAGTCCATCGAAACTATATTTTGGAGTTAGTCCAAACATTTTGGAAAACGGGGTCAGTAGCTAACAAATAGCGTGAAATGGAAAATTCTGTAGTAAATGAAGCTACAGAGGTGGCG